GTGTTTAGTGGGTAAAAACAAAATTGTCAGTTGATGTATAATGTAGAAAAACAGTAATATTATTTAAATTTCGAGAGATTGCAGAAATCTGCAGTACAGAGGAGTTTAGGTGTCTTGGCACATGAGTCACAAAATTTATTATGTGTGGACAGCAAATGGATAATAACAGCAAATGATGGAACGTTGCCCTTTATTGCAAGGGATTGTGTACAATAGTGATAGACAAATTCTTGACTAACAAGGAACTCCAAAGTTATTGAGGGCAAACAGAAATATGGACTTCAAGCAGCAATTAGATCAGCCATAATCTTATGAATGGTGGAACAGGCTTGAGTGGCCGAATGGCCTACTCCTGCTCCTCAGTTCTAAGGGTCACTGGACCCAAAACGTTAACTCTGATATTTTTCTTCACCGATGCTGCCAGACCTGCTGAGCTTTTCCAGCAACTTTTGTTTTTGTTCACGATTTTACAGCATCCCCAGTTCTTTCGGTTTTTACTCCTGCTCCTCATTTGTTTGTATCCCATGTACACACATTTGGACTCACTTGTGCACTCTTACGCAGAGGAAATACACATTGAAATACATTAACGTTGATGTACACTTGCCCACTGGTATACTCACATGCTGCTCAGTCATGCACACACAACCAGGCAGATACGCATTCCCATTGACAATGACATACAAACTGATGCACACTTACACATTGCTACACAATCATATTCCTGCTCACTCTTAGCAGCGCTCACTCGTCACAGTGACACACTGTTTCCATTGATTTTGTATGCATTAGTTGACATCTATGTAGTTATGACCCGCATCCAGGACAGGTGGCACATGAACCCAAACCTTCAGGCCCAGAGGTAGGGACATTATCATGGGACCACAAGATCTATACTGCCATTTGTGTACATTAACACATTACACTCAAATTAACACTATATTCAATCTGATAAAGGCACAAATTGGAACACTCAAACTAGGTACTTGTATACATTCACACTGACCGAACACATTGATATCAGCAAACGTATGCATAGATACTGATGCAGAACAGTAGGATTCCAAAAAGTGTGGAGGAAGAATGAAACCTAGGAATACATGTTCAGAGATCCCTGAAAGGAGGGTGGGTGCATAAGATTAGCTTAGTTTTAGAATACAGAGGCTACGGCAAGGCATCTGCATAAGAGCAGAAATGTTATAAGCAGATCGAATAAATCACTCAAACAAAAAGAACCAAAAGAACTGCAGATGCTGGAAATCTGAAACAAAAATGGAAATTGCTGGAAAATCTCAGGTCTGGCAACATCTGTGGAGAGAAATCAGAGAAATTCTAAGGGTCACTGGACCTGAAACATTAACTCTTGAGTCATAAAAGACATCTAGAGGTACCACTTTACAGGAAGAATGATATGTGGTAGGTACTAGAAAACGTTTATAAGAATGTTATCAGCCATGAAAAAATGCAGCAATAATTATGCAGTTTATAGTTTGGTGCTTGATTAAACATACATAGGAGTGCAGGATGCACCCACCCCACAAAGACCTCGAAAGCAGTCTAGAAAATACAGTTGTAGAGCTGGTTGAACACAGCAGGCTAGGCAGCATCAGACGAGCAGGAAAGCTGACGTTTTGGGTCTGGAGTCAGAAATCTGAAGAAGGGTCCAGACCCGAAACGTCAGCTTTCCTGCTCCTCTGATGCTGCCTGGCCTGCTGTGTTCATCCAGTTCTACACCTTGTTATCTCAGACTCCAGCATCAGCAGTTCCTGCTATCTCCTAGAAAATAGTTATTGGGTCAACTAGAGAAATGTCACCCCTTTCACAGAATTTGGTGAGGAGCTACTCCTTTGGCCATAGTCTTGTTTCCTTTAGCATTTGTTGCTGACAGGCTTCTATTATGAGAGACGCAGTCTGTTCTTGGAGGCACAGAGAAGGCAGTGAGCAGAGCTGCTGAGACAGAAAGGGGTAGAAGTGGGAAATGAGGTTGGCAAGCTCAGAGGAAACCAGGCTGGCAAGTCAACATGGGTGGGAGGGAAGTGAGGCTACAAAAAGGAAGGGGAGCTGCAAAGGAGGGAGAGAGTTGTTTTAAACTTTTCAATAAAGGAATACATAGCTAATGGGAAAACTTGAAATTACAGAGGCTGTAAACTCCTTCCAAATGAATGTGGAGGCTATTTTCAAGGCTGCAAAAGTTCAGGAGTTACTAAATGGGGAAAAATGTAGTGGATGCACTTGCTTTCCACTAGAGAAGGTCGCTAATAAACACTGATGGCTTTTTGTGTGTAGAAGTATGTCAGTAATTTAAAACACTTTTGCAGCCCTCTTACACCTGGTGCCTTTTGCCAATTTAAATGTTACGGTCTTGCGGAAATTAACATCGTCCTTGATTGATTTGTGGCTTTAAGCTTAATAAAGTAGGCTTAAATTAAGCTTATTGTACATATTGATAAATTTTCCTAATTCTGCTATGCAGGTCCAAAAAATACCCATCAAATCAAAAGGAATTACAGAAAGCAATCTCACTATGTAAAGGAATTAGTGAGATTAAAACGGGAGCCAAAAAAGCCAAGTTAGCCCTGAAAATTGAAAAGGAGTCCCTTTTGAAATATTCACCAAGAGCCCTTAAGAGATTTTTGACCCATGTTTTGATTTCTTTGGAATAATAGAAGATGAGTGGAGGTTTATTGATATGCATAAAATTATAGTAGGCCGAACTCAAGTGAATATGAGGGACCTATTTCTATTAGCAGAAAGGTCAATAACTAAGGGGAATTGACAAGAACTCTTTCTTTTTTTCCCCACAGGGTGGTGGGGCTCTGGGTCTCAGTACCTGAAAGGATGGTGAAAACAAAAACATTCATCTGATTAAAATTAATGGATATGCACTTGAGGTGTCATAACCTCCAGAGCTACAGACCAAGAGCTAGGTGTTAGGATTAGAATGGATAGCTCTTTTTCAGCTGGCAAGGACAAGATGAGCCAATTGGCTCCTCTGTGCCATATTTCTGTGTTTCAATACATTGGCATATGTATGCACTTGTGCAAATACATCTGTTTAATGACACATATTCATACTCACCATACACTTAGACACACTGAACTCAGACTTACATCAACACTCATGCACTGAGACTGACACACACCAGAGAATCCGAAAAGGAACAAAGGCATTTTTGCTTTGCTTTTTTAAAATGTTTAATTCTTTAAAAAAATTATAGTCTTCAGGTTAGAGAAAACCAGAATATTTTTGGTCAGGTCTAACAATAACATTTTTGGTACAATTTGACTTTACACTGGAAATGAATAACAAAACACAAGAATGCTTTCAACTGTTTGAGAGGGAGTGTGATTGTTCATGAAATCCTTGAGAGTTGACCAATCCTACTGTTGGATTTTTGGGCTTTCTTATTTATAACTCTGTAAGGCCCATAGTTCTACAAAATGTCATTTCTCGAGCTTATTCACTTTGCTTTACCTCTGTAATCAACAAACACACTGGTTGTTAGTGTCCTATAACCAAAGCTTCGAGACAACAACACCTTGTGTTTGCAAAGCACCTCTGGTCTTATTGTCACTATTCCCTCTGCTTGCCACATGACCCATATACCACCACAAATAACGCAATCCTGCCCCTACAAAAAATCTTACACAGCCACTTCCTATTGTACATTGTTGTGTTGGATTAAAGACAATTCGGAGCTCTTGAGATACATGCATGCTTATCAATACTCTGGTACTATATCAGGATTACAACCAGACACCAATGTACGCTATGGGATTCCTGCTACCTTCTCTTAGGGAGACCAGGTAAAACAGGCGCAATAGAGAAGAGCTAACAGTAGTGAAATAATGTCTGTTAAAACTGTTGTCTTCTATATCAGGGGCATTTTTATTTGTCTTCTGTTTGAGAGCTGTATGATTCTATATTTCCATAATGCAATCCTTGCCTGTAAAGAACACAGGCTGGAGATTGAACTGCAATTGGAGACTGGAGTACAATATTATAGTCCTATTGTGAATATGGCTCCTTGCTCAAACTTTGGGCTTTCCAATATGTAAATTTTTATGGCTAAAGGTGAAGGATATTTTAAACTTTGCAGCTTTCCTGAGATATGTGATTCAAAAGCCCAGCCAGCGCTTTGATTTCCTTAAATTCCTTCTTTGCCTGAAGCCTCGAACACATTGGAATATTTTTTCACAAGCATCTTAAACAGTGAGAAGTATCATGCTAAGCTAAACCCTATCCTGTCTTGCTTTGAATTCACACATCTCGCCCTTCTCAGAATGATGGGGTCAACTGTAGAGCTATCATCAGCATCCAATCTCTAATTAGCCTACACAGGACAGAGCAGCAATCTCTGTTCTGTCTGACTCCGTTTAACCCTGGACAGTCCACTAACTAGCTGAAACATGGTGGGAAACAGAAGGGTTTCCTTTTATTACACTCCTGTTCTTTCTTAAGATGAGTGTACATTTATTTGATACATGGCTGGTCATTGTTAACAAAGAACCAGAAAAACAGAACACCCAAATAGAAGACAGGAACCAATTCAGAGAAGTATAAAAACTTACTGGTGGAATGGGCTTAAATAATTTTAAGCAATACCTGGAAATAACTCATTTTACAGATTAGAGCACAGAGATCCATGCACTGAAGCACAGATTGAAAGCTTTAGGCAGGGAGCCATTCCACAACCCAGCCATGTTTCTGTTCACTAGAGGGGAGACCATCAAGTTGACCACAAAATGGCAGTCTTTACCATGGTGTCTGATATCCTGATAGCAATAGGAGAATTAAATTGCAAAACCTACCTCTGTAATTTTGCCAACACCACCTCTCATTTTGAGACGTGAGGAAATCCAACTTACAATGGACAAAACCTCCGCTTGAATCACATCTTGAACTTTTCATATTTTCAGGTAGTTTCCTTCCATGAGCATCAAACCATACATGTAGCTATATATCTCTAGATAAATAACCACTCATATTTTATCTAATGAACATTTGTATGAAATGTTTTTAATACAACAAAATATCAGGCTACATTCAATCTCATTAAAACTTTATACCAGCAGCCACCCTTCCATCATGCCTTCTCTTCAAAACAGAACGTTTCTCACGGAGTGGGCACTAACTAACAGCTTGTTCCAACGCATATTCACTTCAGCATTGCAGTCCACTATCGAAACATCATCTTGGCGCACAGACAGTAACATTCATATGACGTACAGGCAGCGGTTACTCTGTCCAATCAGAGGAAGCGCAGTAGTATTTTCCAAGATGGCTGCCCTGCGGCCTAGGGGATCTGATGGGCAAATCCAGAATGCGTTGTGCTTGTTTTACAGAGTGCAAATATATATATATTTAGTTCAGTCTGTTAGACGCATACTTGCTATTGAAAAAGATTGGCACATTCAGACAATAACCTTATAATATCCAACATTTTTTTTATCATTTATAAATACGTTCACCAGAAGGCCAGGAAATGCTTAGAAACAAACAAAAACAAAATTATTCCCAATTATTTACAAAGTTAACATGGATTTTCCTGATGTCCAGCGACATGTCATAAATTAAACGTAAAACTTTTCTTTCTCAATTTTTTTGAAATTTTAATCTTTTCGTACAAGGCAAATCATTCTGTACAAGGCTGAGTGAGAGGAGAGTGGGTGGTGCCTCTGTCAGATGCCTCACCTACCGCCTGGTTCTTCTCCACACTCCTGTCTTCCGTTCATCTCTTCTCCTGCAAATGCCAAACAAAAATGAGTATTGAATACCAATGGAACCCAACAATGCAGTATGCTACTGAGCCTAGAAGAGGATAGGTTCTATGACAAAGTATGGAAGATTTAAGAGTTGAGCTAATTGAATGTTTACAACAAGTAATAGACTTAATACAGTAGATTGAAACAACCTGTTTCCTTTCTTGGAAAACTTCAGGTTAACAGGGCATATGTTTAAAATTAAAATTTGGTTAGCTGTGTGAGTACTTCTTCACATCAAGGATAACCAAAGGAGTTCTTCCTTTTGAAACACCCCAATCCATTCCTCATTCATTGGTATTCCACCACACCCCCACTACCCCCCCTCCAACCCCCCATTCCCACAACATGTTCCTGTGCAAATGCAGGAAATGCAACACTTGCACCATCGTACAGGGCACCAAGCACTCTTCACAAGTGAATCAGTTTCTTCTTTGTACATTACACGTAGTCCTTGTCATCCACAGGAGATAGGGGCATGGACCTCTTGCCAATCACAAAATGTATAGACCATTCCTATGTGCCACGAAGGACTGCCCAGTTTGAGGGCAACAGGGGCAAAATGATAGCGCTTGTAGCTGACCTCGTGGATAGGGGATAACGAAGAGTGAGTGTAAATTATTCTTTCTGCTCATGAGCAGGCCTCATCTACACTAGGATACCCAATGGAGATTGGGTCATTATTTTGCAGATTCAGTCTGTAAAGCTGACCCTGAGTTTCAAGGCACTTCTCATTTACATTCTACGCCTCCTTCCGTTATGACCACTCCTTGGCCTCCTAAATATTCCAATGAAGCTTAATTTAAGCTCTGAGGAGCAGCATGTCATCTGATGAGTAGGGACTTTACTGCCTTTCAGATTCAACATTGAGTTCAACAATTTTAGAAGTGCTGTGTCTATCCATATTCCCTTTTTTTTGGACAGGAGCTGATTTTACTGTTGCCATTTACATCTCCTCTAGGACCCATATTTTTTGACTTCCTTGCTCGTTACCATTTCCTTTAGCCATGCACCATCATCCCTTTGTTCATTTAATCTCTCTTAATCACAGGCTTTCCACCTAATGATTGACCTTTCCCTTGGTTGCCCCTGCACATCTCTACCTCTCTACCTGGTTAAAACCTGTTACCTACTGAATCAGGTCCAACCCTGATGAAAGGTCAACCATTTCTTTCCACAGATGCTGTCTGTCCCATCAAGTATTCTCAGCACTTTCTGCCTCTATTTCACAGATTTTCTGATCCTTACTAAGTTGGTAAGGGTTTCTTTGGGTGCTGTATGGGCTGGGAGTGATGGTATAACATCGGAGAGTTTTCTTACTTGCGTTGTAGCCATTGAGTGAACTTTCATCTAACTGGATAAGAACGGACTTCAACTTTTGAACTTTTGAGTCAATCAATTTTGTGGCTGTCGCTCCCTAGTGAACTGTTATATATTGAGGAGAACAGATTGACAATTCGTCAGCAGCTCAGTACTCACCACACAGTACTTCCTCTACGGCCCCTTCACTCACTCACTCACACACACACCCCCCACCCACCCACCATCCCCCCCCCAGTCTACAAAGCTACAAGACTCGACACACAATTTCTGGGAGATGGTTACCGTCATTGGATCCCCCTGACACCTGCTCAGAAACCACGAACCCTGCTTCTTGGTTTAAGGGGGAGGGGATGTGATTAAAGGATTTGTTTAAGCCTGTAAAGATGCCTGCTATGCATTGCAAAAATAAAATTTTGTTAAAGCAACAGTTTCCCATGGGAGACACAAAAAAATGGGAACAGGTTTCCTTCGGGTCATTAGGCGATCGAGTTGCACAATCTCTGATATTTGATTCTGTTTCACATTTTTCTAATATTCTGACCTTAGGCAGCACAGAAAAAATGCAGACATAGCACACACTTTGAAGTCTATCCTTACGTATGTAATTCATATATTAAAAGCATGTTCAATTCATTAGACTTCAAGATAGCTTAATCCAATCTCTTCCCCTTTAGGGTATGAACTGTCTGTAAAGAAATGGGAGACATTTATCATGTGTAGATGCTACAGGGTTCAAACTGAATAGAATATAATAAGCTGGATATTTTTAGACAAAGTGAGTAAATTAATATAAAATCATTCTTCAAGTAATTAAGATCGACTGTTGGGTTTGGCTATTTTTTAAAAAATAATATTTTTACAGAGAATCTTGCTATTTATAAATCAGGCCCAGAAGGCTACAAAGCCTTGATGCTAACAATGGCAAAAATCATTAATGGTAAACAGGTATAAACGTAAAGACATTGCTGGGGTTTCAGGAACCTTTGTAAGTGAGCAATGTGCATTTAAGTTTATTTCAGTTAACAGGTCCTTGCCACTAGCACCTACAGATGATCTAACAGTAGTCAATGTTATGCTCAACAACCTTGTCCAAAAAGTTTCAATAGGATTTTGGATGATTTGGCTCATTTCCTGCAGCAGTTTATGTTCCTAAAAAATAAAAGAAAATTTTCTGCCAGTGCCTGGTGAACAATTAGTGATAAATTTCATGCACGTAACTGAGAAACTTCGATTGACATGACATCTTGAGAAAACCTGTGAGATAATTCTAGTACATGCACAGCCAACAGGATTAGGATTAGGATTAGGATTAGGATTAGTTACCTAGCCTGGGGGAAAATGAACTAAATTCCTCGATTGAGATTAGGCTATCAATGCTCCTAAATTCTATAGCCGATTGCAATCTTTCACCCTTGCTCTTCACGAGATGGGTTCTGCTATGACATCTTTAAAAATTGTTTTTATGACATGGCAATGTTGGAAAGATCATGTCAGTCACCTCTCCTTGAGTCATTATAGTTCTTGTCTATGTTTGCTGCCAGAGGGCCAGTCCAACTTACAGTGCCATGATCTCCACCACAGAATGGGCAAGAAGGTAAGGGTCAAATCCATGCCAGCCAGATGGCATTGAACTCTGTTGCTAGCAACGATGTCATCCATACCAACCGTACAAATCGTTGTAGCAACTTAAACTTTTTCCATATATGTTGTAGTTCAAAGCTATGAATAGCACTGGTAAATGTCCTTTAGGGAAGGCAACCGCCATCCTTACCTGGTCTGGCCTACATGTGACTACAGGCCCACAGCAATGTGGTTGACTCTTAAATGCCCTCTGGTTAACTAGGGATGGGCACTAAATGCTGCCTAGCCACGGATGCCCTCATCCCATGGATGAATTTTTAAAAAAGTATCAACTTTCTTTCCATTACGCCAGGAATTTATCCCACTGTTACTGCCTGTCCCTGGCATACATTGGAAGGATTTAGTTATCCTGTTTGACTTCTAAGAATGCACCTTTCTTTACCATGAAGTACTAGAGCTGGGTTTAAACTTGGAGCTTCTCTGATTCAGAGGCAGGGACGCTACCAACTCCAACACACAACCTCCTCCTCCTCCTCCTCCTCCCACTCCTATAGAAGAGTCAGATATTGACCTGCTGATGATGAAGGAACAGGAGTACCTGTCTATGTCAGTACGAGATAAGGTTTGAAGCTGATTACACTTTGACCCTAATGGCTTCCCATCATTCTCAGGTTCAGCGGTCACTCCAGAGGGGATTGACATAAACAAACCTCTGCACTGCATTCTGCAAAATGAACATCATGATGAGACAGTACTTTTGTCTTGAAGGATGTGAACCTTGAGCCTCTGGTTCTCATTGTCATTCTCAACATTTTTGGATGAGACATTAAACAGAGACTTTGTTCTGTCCTTGTCAATGCCATAGAGGATCCCTTGACAGTATCTCAAAGAAGAGCTAAGGAGCTAGCCCCAGAAGATAAACCTGAGACAGCGTCCGGACCTCTGAGCCAGAAGGTCTGGGTTCTAGTAGCACCTGCTCCAGAGATGTGTCATAACACATCCAAACAGGCTTGCTTTCTCAGAGAGCATGTGTATTGGCTTTTCACAGGAGCGCTTGTAACACCCACCTGACTCTAAAGATTCCACTCCTAACGTGATACTTCACCTTTTTCCTTGCTTCTGCTTTTGCCTCACTTTATTTGCCTCCATATCTTTGCAAGATCAAGGCATATTTTACAATTGGAAAACTGTGAACAAGTCAATATCAGAGCCCCAGGTACTCCAAGGTCTGGTTGTGACCTTAGCAAAATTCGTTAACTAAATGCTGACACCCCTGGTCCAGAAATTCCACCATGCCCAAAAATAGCATACACCACACTCCTACAGGCCTATGTGTGGCTCCTCCGTGGTTTCAGACAACTCATGAACTTGCTGAAGGGATCACAGTCCAATGCAGACAGAAGACAGCCATCAATCTCTATGCTATATACTGGCTACACCCTTGTTAGATTGGGCAGAAATTACTTTCATTTCAGAACACCAATATCCACAGTACTTGTACTGGCACTCAGTTTCTCTGGTTGAAAATCTCGCAGTTAGATCCAAGACAGGTGGAGAAAGGAGGATTGGTATTGAAGTGTGATGCAACGCTTGCTAGATCGTAAAAAAAGACGTGTTTTTCCCTCTCACAACCCACATTCCCGTGGGCAGATGCTCCTCCTTCTTTCATGTAATGCAGACTTCACTGGCAAGACCATCACTTATTGTGTATTCCTAATAGCCCTTTGACCGAGTGGATTGCTAGGCTATATCAGAGGGCAGTTAGAAGTTAGCAAATCATTATGTATAGAGTCAGATATATGCTGAACAAGGCAAAGTTGGTGAATTTCCTTTCCTAAAGGACATTAGTTAATCAGATGGGTTGCCACAATAATCAACAGTTTTGTGGTCACCTTCACTGAGACAAAATTTCATTTTTTTTTTGAACAGAGTTCAAATTCAGTTCATTCAGCTGTTGAATTTGAACCCATGTCCCAGACAATAGCTTGTGCCTCTGGATGACTAATCCAATAACATTAGCAGTACACCATTGTCTCCTCTGCTATTAGGCCACAGAGGCCCATTCCTGAAGCATACTTCCCAGATCAATGGTTGCAATACTGTAGAATGCTTAGTGATCTTACCGAAGTTGGCAAGATTGAAAAAAAATTCCTCAATGTTACTGTCTTACTGCAGCTCCACTCTCTCAATTCACCATCGTTCTTTTGCATATGTCCTTTCGTAATCTAACAAGCACTGCAAGATACTTCATTGTAACTCCTCATTACACCCACCAATATTACAACTCCACTTCTCTGCATCTCGTACCTTTATAACCAGTTACTTTACCACCATTCAACTACAAGAGCTTCCTCTATAAATCTCACTGGGCTGTCACTAATACACTTATTTCTTTCTTGTCAGAGAAAGTCCCAATCTATTTATGAAAACTGATGCCAGAAGGAAGGGAGGTCATCTGCACCTCCCTAGCTTTTTGAAGGACAGTGTGCTGTACTGATCATCTGAAGGAGGGGAATAGTCATAGAAACATTCAGTAGCCAAACTGAAGGAGAACCTGCCCAGTGTATTCTCTTCTAGTCCCATCACTAGTTTATGATCCATGACAAACTGAAGGAAGAACACTGAAATCTGCCTGAAGAAGCACCATCACAAGTTTTGAACCCAGCTAGCACCAACTAGCTGAACAAACAGATGGGGATGCAATTTGATGAATATATCCTCTGAAGGCCAGCTCTGGCAATGTAACACACTCACAGTAACTACAACTGAAAAGTGAGACTCAATTACCTATCCAAGCTGGAGCTTAGCAGTTTTTCATACTAAAGAAAGAACACCACCTACAGCACAGTTCTTGCAGTGCAATGGTAGTGTCCTACCTCTGGGGCAGAAGGTCTGGTTTCGAGTCCAATCTGCCTCAGATGTGTCTCATGGCATGTCTGATCACGTTGATTAAAATAGCCACCATCTGGTCAGCCAGGCTGACAGATTTATCAAACCAGCCCAGGCTCTGAATGATAGCGATCCCCTTGAAACAATGATAGGGAACGAGTAACATGAAACGACATCCACAGGCAACAAAACACCTTGCACTTTGTTCCTTTGATGGAAAGTGAAAATTCTTTCCAATCACAGAAATAGTGCCCCATATCTGAAGCCCAGTCCGTCTTCAGCTTAGTGCCTTGAAAAGGGGAGCTATTTGAAGCGAAAGATGTGAAAAGTACAACAATTTGTAAAGGACCAAAGTCATTCTGGGAGAGTGTACAACATCTGGAACTGCCAAAGCCATTTCCATCATGTGGGAGGAAGATTGTGTAGAGCATAAATACTAGCAGAAACATATTGTGCTGAATGGCCTGTTTACAAACTGGATGTAGTGTAACACTTGCACCCTTACTGCTCAACGAATAAAACTAAAGTTGTTTGCTGAGGGTTTTAAAAAACATCTACACGTCATCTGACAAAATTTGATTGAGGTTCATCTTGCTTAATGCTATTCCTGAGTGTTTTTGTTTTTATGTTGTTGACCCTGTCCTCTAAGGCTAATGAAGCAATGTGTTGCATTAGGCCATGCATATTAGTGACCCTGTTATTTGCTTTCAGGTTCTCTGTTGATGGATGTGGCGAATTGAGCGAGAGGCTCTCTCATCAAGAATAGAAGAGTGTTGTAGCTAACATTGCAGTTATGTTTTGCTAATCTAATGCATTGCATTACAACACTTTGGGATTGGGAGTGAAATCCAGCAGGACAATTGGGAAGTAATCCACCTCGCATAAGCTACCATTTGGGAGATTCCAGTCCAGTTTCCATGTGGTTAGGGAGCTAGAGAACAAACACCCCATTCAACCACAAACCACCACCCACCCCCACCGTTTTGACACACACCATCTCAGCAGCTGGTGTGAGAAATGGGAATGCCACAGATGTAAAAGCAGGGATCTTTTAATCAGAGCTGCGCCAAAAGTAACATAAAGAAAGAAATAACAAAGTATGGAGCTGGAGGAACACAGCAGGCCAGGCAGCATCAGAGGAATCTGACATTTTGGGTCAGGACTGTTCTTCAGAAATGGGGAGGGGGAGGGGAGCTCAGAAATAAATAAACTTCCCTTCCTACAGAGCTTTTCCTGAAACTAGGACATTGCACTGAAGCTGATGAAGGACTTTGTAACACAGTACTCGTGGAATATAGACAGAAACGATGAATCTGCTCACAGTAAGATTCCGTAAACAGGAAAGGAATAAATGATTAACTTAATGTTACGGTGATAATGGTTAAGGGATTAAACATCGGCCAGGAACCTGGCAGAACTTCCTGCACTAATAATAGAGCCATTATTCTTTTACATCCTCCCACGTGGGAAGACCAGGCCTCTGCTTAATGCCTCATCAGCTAGTCAGCATTGCCAACTGTGCAGCACCCCTACTGTATGGCACCAAAGTAGTAACTTAGATCATGTTATATACCCGAGTCTGTGATATCAGAGGATGAAATTATGCCTGTTTAACAGAGATGAGAATACCGCTGCTGAGCTAAGGCCAGAATGTAGAGCGGAAATAATTTTGTTCATTAACTATTTGTGCTATACTTGACTTAGGGTTTCGGTACACCACCAGTGTCAGCAGAGGACAGAGATCATGATGTGCAACAGCTGTTGCATCCTATATACAAAACGTTACTCGACCATAAGCTGAGCCTCCACTTGGCAACTTCGCAAGTTAAGATGACTTTAAGAGCAAGTTCCGCTGATGAGGTGATCATTCAACAAATGGGGCCTCAGACTAACTGTAGATCTGATTGAGACAGGACACAGATTAAATCTCAACTGAAGACTTTCCATTTCGTTTTCTCCACAATGGCTTGAGGAAACAGTCTGCACAGTTCCTATTTGAACAAAGACCAGCCCCATCACATCTTGACTCACAGCATTCCTGTAACAGATACACCGCTGGAATCTTCAGACAAGATGAAAGAGCCTTTGTGGAGAAGCCAGAAGACACAACAAAAGCGAAAAAGTATTGAAAGGAATTGAGGCTGATGGTGGCTCTTTGCATAAGGTAAGGCTTGACAGGTCTGTGCAGGCCTTAGAGCCCAAAGCCATCTCACAAGCTGGTCTTTTCATTCCAGTGGCAGTCACATTAAGGGAGTATCAGGTAGATAAGGTGCAGGGATGGGGGTTGCTCAGTGAATGTTAATACAGTGATTAGCTTTGTAATCTAAGACACATTTATAGAGCTCTAAAGGACTCCTAACATCATTATCTGCAAATCCTTGCCCTCCAGCAGGAGCTCTCTGGAAAGAATTTTCATCACCTCTTCAACAAATGATAATTTAACTCTTAAAATATGATAGCTTGTAAAGCTATTTTTCAACACCTCATTCAGGCACACTGCCTATATATATCTATGTTCCTGTAATTCTAAAGACTAAGTTTCTATTTTTCAACATATTACTGCAGTCAGATGCAAAACTACACAATAGGATAACATGACAATCAGCAGCACAGAGACAGTAAATGTTAGAACAACCCCAGCTCATACAGGTATTTCTGTATTGACAGAATGACTCAGTAACATTGAAGGAATGCTGATATAGTTCAAAGTCAGGATGATAGTGACCTAGAGCAGACCTTGCAGATGTCAGTGTCCCGATGTATCTGCTACCCTATTGTTATAGATGGTGGGAGTTGTTGGTTTGAAAGGTGCTGTTTAAAGAGCCTTAATGAGTTCTTCACGTTTGATGCTTTGGGTCATAATATTCAACACAAGCATCTCTCACCATGATTACCGCTCAACACTGCCTCATCAAACAAGCACTATGTTTTAACTTTTATGTTAAACTTAAGTAATTTACAGCATGTGATTGAACAATCCTCCTGTTAGTTTCATCCCTCATCAGGGAGATGGACAAAGTCATTTCAGCAAACTAAAAGTGTAGACTAGTGAAGGTAAGAAAAGAACTTACATATGAAAGACTCTGTACAAATGTATAAGATATTTTAAAGTATGGTGGAGGCAATGTGTCACTTTTGAAGTACTTTTACTGTTATAGAGACATGTGGAATGTGCAGTTCTGAAATTCTGTAGGCATTTGTCTATAAATAAAAAGTAGTGAAGAAGAAATTTAAGGGGCGAGTTTGGGAGGAACCTCCTTTTACCTAGAAATAAACATGCTACTACATGGGAGTAGCTAAGGCCAGTGATATAAATGTTTTTAAGGAATAGCAAGAAAAGTAATTGAATGTTAGACTGAGTTAAATGAGAAGTTGCTCAGTGTATAAATACAGCAGCGGACTTGTCAGGCTGAAGCACTGGAGAAACCAGTCAAATTTCTGTGTAATTCTGGCCAGCATCTGTATCATTAGGAATTCTGCAGAATTACAAAGGGATAATCCTGTGGAATTTCAGTGTCCTATATTCACTTATCCATGAGCTGAAGAGAAAACTGGAGGAGATGTTCTGAGACTTGTTCGCTGGATATAATACACAACTCAAAATATAAAAATACACAACTGGTCAGTGAACTGCTGACTCTGCAGATGCGAATGGCGCTGTGCCTGTCACGCTAGATGCCTGTCACATACCCTTTGGCGATAACAAGTTGATTCTATGCCTGCCCTTAGTCGTGGGGTGTGGGATGTTGGCAATCTCAAGGGGAGGGAAAAATTCATCATTGGGTGTGGCAGGAAAAGTTATTGTAGACATGTTACTTCACAATGTTTGACAGATCCCACTAGATTTTTAAGAACTGATTTCTCTCGGTATGATGCATGTTACAGTATTGCCTGCCTCCGATCGTTGTATTGTGGAAAGTGAATGAGATGCACCTTACCTCACTACGGTCTACACCAGCTCCCCTGCCTCGTCCTGCTACATGACCCCGTGACCCTGTTGAACCTCTGGATGATGAACTTCCCGTTGTGGAGCAATTACTCGACATTTGACCCCGTTGCAGGAAGTTGGGTTTATTGTATGGTATCAAGTCATCCTCTGCAAGAGCAAATTAGAAAAGAAAACACTGAAAAGAGTTAATCCAACAGTCAAAAACTGCTCTGTTCACTTGTGTGGAACTTTTCACGTTACAAAACCTTGCCAAGTCAATGATAGCCCACAGCACTTCACAATGATATTGGTTTAACAATTCAAAAGTTCTAAGGAAGAGTCACCAGACCCGAAATGTTAACTCTAATTTTTCTCTTCACAGATGCTGCCAGACCTCCTGAGCTTTTCCAGCAACTTTGTTTTTGTTCCAGATTTACAGCATCCGCAATTCTTTTGGTTTTGAATCCAAAAGTTGAGTTCAAATCCCTCTATAGCAAACTGTAAGCTAAAATTATTTTGTTGTTTGCTATTAACATCAAAAAAAAATTTCCTAAGAACTGCAGTCGTTTTGTAAAACAAAACAAATTTATACTGTAATAACAGATCATAACCCCAAATTACTTACAAACATATTGAACTCTTAATAACAGTATGTGTTTTTTTAAAAGACGACGCTCGAGCAAAAATAATGACTGGGGATATATATTCTACAGCTGTCTGATAGGGCCCTTTGTGAACCCATGGAATGTCATACCTGTAGTGTGTCAGGAAATCTCAGAGATAAGATTAAAAGGAAGACAATAATGAGGGGCTGACTACACATCTCACCAGAAATCTGACCCCTCTGAGTTATGTCCCAAACTACAGATATTGCACCCAGAATCATAATGAATTGGGGAACCTCACCCAGAGACTAGTCGTAAGAATCTGTCCTTCAGGAAAAGGAACCTGACATCCTCACATAGTCAGCTTTACAAATAGGTTCAGTTGTTGATTATTTGGTTGGTTTTTGATTCTTAGGGATAATGTTTTTCCAAAGTTGTCCTCCTCTCACAATCAAGTAAATGCATGTATGGTCGACTTTGTAACAAAGACAAATGCAGCAACTAATTGGCATAAAACAAGACCCCACACATGAACCCATTGACTATTTACTTCCTATTTGGTTGTGAGGGTGAGAAGAAGACACCACATTGCATTACAAGATGCTTTTACAACTTTTGTATCTTTAGCAAAGTGAAGGTGCCGTTCAGAAAATTTAAGGTGACGATGCTGCCTTGATAATGATGTAGTTTGTTTGGACCAAGTAGCACTTTTGAAATACTGACACCAAGGGGTACAGTTTCAGCTTGTCACATAGGCATAAGGCTACCTTTGTATTTTGGCCCCCACTCTCAAAACTGTCCAATTTCCATTATGGATCTAAATATCATTTAGTCCTAAAATGCACAGTCAACTCTTAACATCAACCACCAACCAGGGTAGCAAGTTGAAAATCTCTCCCACTAAAAGTTCTAGTGAATGAAGGGGTTGAGCCAAGGAGCAGTACAGCACAGAAACAGACCCTTCCCTCCAACTCGTCCATGCCGACCAGATATCCTAAATTAATCTTGTCCCACTTGCCAGCATGTGGTCCATATCCCTCTAAACCTTTCCTATTCGTATACCCATCCAAATGCTTTTAAAATGCTGTAATTGTACCAGCCTCCACCACCTCTTCTGGCAGCTTATTCCATACACGCACCACCCTCTGCGATTGAGGCTGAATGGAAGGCTGTAATTGTAAAAACACAGATGTGGGATAGGGCTACATCATTATCAAGGCAGCATTATCACCTTAAATTTTCTGAACAGCACCTTCACTTTGCTAAAAATACATATGTTCTAACAGTGTCTTGTATGCAATGTGGTATCTTCTTCTCACCCTCACAACCAAATAGGAAGTAAATAGTCAATCGGTTCATTTTTGGGGTCTTGTTTTTTTTTCCAAACAGTTGCTGTGTTTGTTGATTCTTTGGCATGTACTCCCAGTGACCATGACTGCGCACTCCAAATGTGGGATTGATGACTCTATGTGCAGACAGTTAGTTGTGACTATCTGAAGAAAAAAGAAATCTTTGTAAATGGTCCTTTCCCATCTGCTAGATATTATAATGAGGAAGTTACTGTCCCCATAGAAATAGGAGATGTACAAAATTTTGTGGGTGGAATCTTCCAAGTGAGGCAGGATAGAACCCCCCACGCCAATGTGAATGGGACAGCCCAATAGATGAGGCACCAAGCTGGTGGGTTTCTGCCTGGATGACATCAGTGATGGCCCTTCCTCCCAGCCTTGCCTGCACCTGCTTGTCAGTCAGAGGCTGGCAGTCATTTTGAGATTGATACAGTGTCTCTTCAGAGTCTGTGGCACCACTGGCAATGAGTACAACAGGCACAGGAGGTGCCCCCTTCAGGAAGGGGAGAGGAGATCAGTGGGGTGTGGGGTTTGTGGGAGTCAGAAGCCAGAACAGGGCAGTTGACTGTCAGTGATCACCCACCAGCAATGCCACCCACACAACGAGGGAGACAGGGTGCTCTGTTTTACCGGTCAGGGAGGCTGCCTGTATTCTCTGCTGCCAAAAACAGCTTTTCATGGCAGGAGCATTAACAGACCTATTGGTGGTCATTAATTGACTCTTTGAGGGTCTTAATTAGAAGGCCTTCCCACCTCAAACTTAATTCCTAGTGGGAAGGTGGTTGGGATCGCTAGCCTGATTACCTTTCCCCTTCCCATCACCGTCCCTGCCATTTCTTTGGGACGGGAGGATTCTACCCTCTGCAATTCCTGTGACCTCACTTGCAATGGCCACTCACTTCCAGAATTTGACGTTTGGAAAACTAACGCACCCACCCACTCCCAGGATTTAACCCTGCACACTGCACTGCCTGGCTAAAATGCCTAGGCCGGGTCATCATCTGAGACTACCATAAACTTTGCACCCGAAATTCCCGGGCAATGCAAGCTCTACAGCCACGCGAGAGGAGGTTCACTTGGATTCATTGGAGCGGATGCTGCAAAGGGGAGGGGAAAAGAACAGCCATCTCATTTGATACCCAAAAAGCCCCACCCACAAAATCAATGGAGGGGTCACGTGGCAGGGGAATAACAGGTTCACTGTTTCACATTGGCATAGTGTGTTGGTTGCATTCTGATCTCTTGCTGGAAAGTAACACCATCGTAGAAGCATTAGAATGAGGGGACAGTGAGCGAGAGAACTAACCGAGAATTGGGAGAAACGAAATGTGTACCTTTACTTATCGGCCTTGCACTGTGGATAAGAGTAATTCTTCCCTCGTATCATGTGTCATTGACTGTATCTCTATTGGCATCAATCCAGTTCCCTCAGAATGTGGGGATTAGTAACGCACCCCAGCCAGTACTCTGCAGGTTATTGACAGACCCCAGCTTTGGTCGCTGTCCCAGCCAACATGCTGTTACTAATTACAGCCCTACTGACCTTAACAATCCCACACTGTCAGCTCAGAAATGCTATCCATGATGCCACTACCAGCACCCACTGCTTCAAACTTTTCCTTTTCAGAGTATGCAGTGCACTGGAATGCTGGAGAGCTGCCTGGAGATTTGAACAGCATGGGTTATGTTCGTGGTATAGATTGAAAGAATAAATAATTAATGCAGGAGCAACAGGGGAATGGATTTCAGGAACATTAGCAGTGTCTGTTTCAGTAACAAAGTGGGTATTTGAATTTTAGATTTGCCTGTCCCTGACATCCCAATGCCTTGCTGTCTCAGTGCTCTCAATAGTTCAGCAACATTTTCATATAGACTGAGCACTTGAACAAAAATATCCGCACACGTTAGAATTAATGCAATCAATTGACTCCAGCTCTGGTGGAATGTCACTGCACTTTCTGTGGAACAGCTAATTTAAGGTTTCCATCGAAGTTTAATGCTGACCTAATCAATCTGCTATAAGCACTTCAAACCCACTGTGCGAAGTGTTGGGAAGGAACTAATTGAACCTGAACCTTGTTAAAAGAATTTTATTGCCATTTTGATTATGATTTATTTCCTCACCAAACATAAAAGGTTATAAATCATAATTGGTTTCCTTCCAATGTAAATCTCTTTAAAGGAACAGGCACCTCCTATATAGAAAGAGAAGTTGCAGCATCTCCAGTGAGGCCAGTACGACAGGAGGAGCCCAACTGGATACAATGATGTTCAGAATCACCAGCCATACTGGCCAAATTTTAACCCTAAAGAATAGGTACTAGTATTTGAGAACATGTGAACAGAACTGGGCCATTCAGCCCCTCACAGATTTCCTACAATGCGAAAAGAGGCCATTCCTCTGCCATTCAACTAGATCAAGGCTGCTCACTGTATTACCATTCTTTGGTTAATATCTTTGCAATCTCTTGAGAAAAATCCACCAAACTTGCTCCTAAAAGTCACAAATGATCCAGAAACCCCAGCTTTTTCTGGAAATAATTTCAGATTTTGACCATCTTTGCATGAAGAAGTGCTTCCTACTATTCCTCTTAAATGGACTAGCACTAAAGCTTTACATTCTTGACTCACTCAACAGAGGGAATAGTTTCAAAAACAGAAGTTGCTGGAAAAGCTCAGCAGGTCTGGCAGCATCTGTGAAGAAAAAAATCAGAGTTAACGGCTTGAGTCCGGTGACCCTTCCTCAGAACACTTGGAATAATTTCTCTGGGTAGAATCATTTGCTCCAGGAGGTGGCAGGCTAGAGGCAGCAAGGGCTTTTAGTGAGGCTGCATTCTCACTGGTGTCAGAATAAAGGTCTGGATGAGAATGTCCATTGTCAACCTTCCCAACCGACTGTCAGTTGATGACTATTTAAGGTCCTCATTCTGCTGCTGTTGGCATTAACCCTGTAGCTGGTACCCTGTGGTCATACAGTGTACATAGCAGCAGAAATGTGTGACCAGTTAGTTAACTCCTCATTGGGGGATAATTGGGAGATGAGGGGATTACCCTTAATCAAAGGCGCTCAGTGCCTGATCAAGGAAAGTGGAGCAGGGCTAGTGGTGGGTCCACAGAGTGCACACCCCCCTGCCCCTGCTCTTGTTGCTGACTCCTGTGCACCCCTCACTCCACAAACTGCAACCCTCCCCTTATGCTACGTTACTTACCTGTGGCCTGGGTTTCTCCATGACGCTGGGATTCCAGGAGGTATTTTACCTCCAGCATCCGCAGCCTCTGTTGTGGCACTGTTGAGCACAAATGCTGTCAGGCTCTGATTAGCTGGCAGGTCTCATATCTGTAAGCCTGGTACTACTTTAAGTATCAAAGCACTCCTCTAAACATGATGATGGTCAACATGGTAAGATTGGGGGATGGGAGAAAAGAGTCTGCAGAGAGCAGAGATCAGAATTGAATGGGAATGATGGAATAATAAAGTTTCTCTCACGTCATCAGGAATGATGGAGAATTTATTGAGCAATATCTCCAGTAGACTGAATGGATAAGCTAGTAGTCCTTGAGAAATTAGTCTTTTTTAATTCATTCCTGGGATGTGGGTGTCCCATTGCTACATGCCCTAGAAAAAGCAATGACTTGCTTAAACTGCTGCAATCCATTTGCTGCAGATAGGCTATAATGCTGATGGCGAAGGAGTTCCAGGATTTTAACCCAGCGACATTGGATGAACAGAGATCTATTTCCAAGTCAGGATGGTGCGTGGCTTGCAGGGAAACTTGCACATGGTGATATTTCCATGTATCTACTGCCCGTGTCTTTCTAGATAGTGATGGTTGTGCACTTGGAAGGACCTGTCTAAGGAGTTTTGGTGAAATTCTGCAGTGCATTTGTAGATGGTACACACTGCTGCAACTGAGTGTTAGTTGGTGGAGGGAGTGTATGTTTATGGATGTGGTGCCAGTTAAGCGGCTGTCCTGGATGTTGTCAAGATTCTCGAGTGTTGTTGGGGCTGCATTCATCCAGGAAAGTGGGGAGTATTCCATCACACTCCTGACTTGGTGCCTTGTAGATGGTGGACAAGCTTTGTGGGGTCAGGTGGTGAGTTATTTGCTGAAAAATTCCTAGCCTCTGACTTAAACCTATAGCCACAATGTTTACATGGCTAGTCAGTTCAGTTTTGGTCAATGCTAATTCACAGGATATTGAATGTGGGAGAATCAGCAATGGCAATTCCAATGGCTATCGAGGGGCAATGGTTAGATTTCTCTCTTGTTGGAGATGTTCATTGCCTGACACTGGTGTAACAAGACTGTTCCTTGCCATTTATTAACCTGCACAGTATTCAGGCTTGAGTTTTGCTGCATTTGGACATGGAATGCTTCAGTATATAAGGATTCACAAATGGTGCTGAACATTATGCAATGATCAACGAACCATTTATGACCTTATGATGGAGAGAAGGTCATTGGAGAAGCAGCTGAAGATGTTTGTGCCAAGGAACTGAGGAATTGAGACTATTGTATCATGGTGGTAGTGTTGCTACCTCTGAGGCAGGAGGCCTGAGTTCAAGTCTCAACTGCACTAGAGCTCTATAATAACACCTCTGATCAGGATAATTAGAAAATACTTACCCTGAGGAACTCAGGCAGAAATATCCGGGAGCTGAAATGATTGACCTGAAACAACCATCACCACAAACCGTTCTTTGAGATAATGAATCCAACCAGAGGAGAGCCTTGATTCCCATTGACTCTAGTTTTGCTCAGGCCACATGTGGCCACGGGCATTCACTTTCTCCTTCCCTGGATTCTTTATAGAAAGAATTGGCTTGATACACATGTTTCAGCTTTAACCATACACAATCCCCAAAGATTTCAGATCCACTTCAGTGGATCACTAAGGAATAGAAAATAAAAATGGTTACAATTATAATAGCGCTTTTCACAATTGCAGGACATCTCAAAGCAATTTTCAGCCAATGAAGTGAAGCCAGCACTGTAAGGAAAGAGCCTTAGGGCTGCTCTATCATTAAAGAGAGATGACTGGTGGCTCTTTAACCCAAGGGTCACCACAGTTCAGGCGTGGATGAGAAGGTGGGACTTTCATGGTGAGCTCAGCTGGTCTAGGAATTGAACACACACTGTTGATGTCACTCTGCATTGCAAACCAGTCAGGCAGCCAACTGAACTAATGTAAGAAACATAAGGCTCCACAAACAGCAATGAGATACTTACTGGAGTTTACTTTCAGTTTGGTTAAAGGAGAAATACTGGAGAAAACACAGCTGTTTTGTTTTTAAATTCTGGAATCAAAAATTTTTCGATACTCAACAATGATCATTTTGATAAAGAAAACTGCTTTTTTTCTAGTTATAAAGCAGGTAAACCAGGAATGAAAAATGGTCCTAAAGAGTGGCTGAGGAATGTATTGTCCTGATGTGCATGCATACTGGTGAATAAAGTGGCTAACATTTTTCCTCCCCTCAATGTGCTTCTGTGGTTGCTGATTTTGGGGCTGTGGTATTAAAGGCCCCTCAAAAGTCTCATCCAAGTGGACAAATGTTAAGTCAATATCAGCAGGTTTCATGACAGGATGGTGAGCTACAGTGTCACTATTCCTAATGCTCACCCAATGTCCACAGATGTCCCCTTTCCAGACAGTACCAGGTATAACAATGTTACTGGAGAGGTCAGTATTTCCTTTCTAATCATACAGGTGCTGAGGCCAATTTGAGAACGTGCTGCAAACTCGATGTAGATCATGGATCTCGCTTTACCGGGAAACATCATTAATGGCTAAACGGTAGAGGAGTAGTTTAAATGAGAAAAAGAGCATTATTGGATGGAATGAGTATCTGGTGAGAAATCCTTCGTGTTGCTAAGAAGAATTAGTATCACAGGGGTGAGGTTTCCCCAGGAACAAGGCCATCTGACAGGAACCATCCGAACCATACCTAAACTGGACAGCTGGCTAGTTCTTGGACGGGATAGAGAGCTCTACATATAAGAGGCACATATTGATTAATACAAGTCATCAGTTCTCATGGACAATGTTCACTCATCTAAAGCAATTTGAGAGGATTTCTCCAGAATTTCTCCACTCTGGCTGATGTTATGCTTTGATCAGGATTTGAGCATCAACTGGGCCGTTTCCTCCAAAAGATGTGCACATTATGTGGTTTGGCCATGGGAATTGTAGGGTTACAGGGATAGGGTAAGGGGTGGGTCAAGGTAGGATGCCCTTTGGAGGGACAGTGTGGACTTGATGGGCTGAATAGTCTTCTTCCACACTGTAGGAATTCTGTGATTACTTGAGAGCTAGCAGGTAAGAGAGGCATCATAAATATTCAGGGACAGGCTACATGGATCATTTGGTTCCTTTCTGTCTGATTTTTGAAGATGAACAAACTTAAGTTCTAGAGAGTCTGACTGAATCAAAGTAACTACAGACTCGAACTCAGCTCTGTTACATGTGAAGTCAAATTGACATCCTCGATAGTCCCAAGTGTTTATTCCTCTCACCATGTTTGTGCCGTGCCGAAGCTGCTCTGTTGTGAGAATGTGCACTCTCTGTTCGCTGGTCGGCTGATGGCCTCCTCTCTGTGGATGAGGCACTGCCATCATGGTCCAGTGAGGTCAGGCTGCTCTCCAGTCCAGTGGGCTGTAGGTAAGGTGTCTCCACAATTCCATCAGCCGGGGGAGGTTCAGGTGGTGGTGGCAGGTCTGTCCAAGACAGAGACAGAGTGAGTCAATAAAAGCTGGCCAAGTCAGCGTTTTTACAGCATCCCTGGGTTAGTGAGAGGTGTTAAGGCTAGTTGATCGCTAACGTTGAGCTTTACAGAGTGTGTACATGTGCCAATACTTCTGTAATGCTGTATGTAAGACTAACACATGCTGAACTGCAGGTGGCGGTTACTCCCAACAGAAAAAGCAGTAGAGACGGCAAAAAAACAACATACTAGTATTTTGCAATTTATTAAACTCCCTTCCTACTTAACAAAACGTTGTAAATGGTATATCTGCGTAGATTCTCAGACAACAATATGACTTGATCAACATTTATACTGCATGAAATTTTAATAGTTTGTCACACATCTGCCTTTACTCTAATCACAACTAAAACATATATGACTAATCTTTCCAGAGTCATTACACGTGGAAAATGAATGTTTTCTCTTAACATGCAGGACAAATTTAACAAAAATATCATCACTTGACAAGAAATAATAAAAACAAAAACTTCATTTTTCTTTCCATATACTTTCATACGAACAAAGAACACAAGTAGGCCAACCAGCTTTGCACCATTCTGTAAGGTCTGGGTTAATCTGATTTTAACCTCAACTCTACATTCATGCATATCCCCTGATAATCTTTCATCCCCTTTGGTAATCAAGAATCTATCTACCTCTGTCTTAAAAATATTTAAAGATTCTACATCCACTGCCTTTTGAGAAAAGGAAATCCAAAGATTCACAACACTCACAGGAAAGAAAAGTCTCTTCATCTCTATCTTAAATGGATAACACTTTATTTTTAAACTTAGTGTCAGTTTCAGTTAACCTGTCTGGCTTCTTCCTCTTTCTGTCTAGATATATCCTTCTACTTATATTCGCTTGACTCTGCTCTTGCCACATCTCTCACTGTGTCAACCCTGAAGAATAAAATTGTACTACCAACTCCAGTTAACAGGTGGGACTGCAACATTCATTGATTTGACTTCATCAAAGTCACTAACTCATATTGCTCTACTAGTGGATTTTGTAAGAGTTGCAAATTTTCAGTTTCTTTTTGACTTTCATTGTCTTTCCGACTTTCACTTTTGGCTATAGAAATATTTTGGATTATAGCAGACTACAAGATTATGGGAGACTTGATGGAGTCTCTCACTAATCTTCACTTGACATGTGAATACACCCAGTCTTTTCATAACTACTCCAATCACATACCTTTCCATTTCACCTTGGTTGATTTTTTTTTTGTTTCACTATGATCTCGTGACTAGCACTGACCTCTCTAAATTTCACACTTGTGTATCATCTTTGCAATGTTTTGATTTTCTTTACTTGGCTGTTGAGGACATTTAAACCTTGTCCTAGGAGTGTGTTTTTATACTAACATGTACGAGAACAGAATCTGGTCTAGCCACGTTGAAGAGAAACATGGAAGCAACTGTCTAACTTTTCAATAATCAAGTACTTCTGTAAACACATCTTCACAACCTCTCTGCTTCCTTCTTTGATGCCATTCCATGCTATCTATATGGTTGTGTTAGACTCTATTCTTGATCAAATATTTCAAATTCTTCCAGTGTGAACTGTGGAACATTATCTGATGTCAACATTTCTGTCAACCTATAATTGCAAATCAACTTTTCAAAACCTCATTAAGTTGGCATTTGTATTGGACATAAACCCAACTTTGTCCACTTTCTGCAGTAATGGACCAAAACAAAGCATTACTTTTCCTTCCACTTCAAAGATGTCAACTTGTAATCATTCCCAAAGTTTTACCATGCTTGACTGGGAGATTAAAGGAATTCTGGTTGGATCATTTCTCATTCCTAGACATACTTTACAATTTTTCAGCAACTCTTCAATATCTTTTGTCTGTTTTTGGATATATAAAATAAAAGTTGCTTGCCATCATGTAGACTATCCCCGTGTACTTTTGATACCATCAGAAATCACACGACACCAGGTTATAGTCCAACAGGTTTATTTGAAAACACAAGCTTCCAGAACCACGCTCGTCAGGTGTTAGAGAGAGGTAGTATCAGACACAGAATTTATAAGTAAAAGATCAAAGCGTCACACGACTGATGAGGATGTATTAAACAAACCTAAGATGCTGTTAAATCTCTAATCAGTTGGAAGGTTTTAATTGATTAATATGTATATGTAAATCCCCAAATTCCTTTCAAGTCACTGACCTGAAAGAACTAAAGGTTCTATTAGTGTAAAGAAGAGGCGACATTTTAGGGCAGACAATGCATGTTAGGTGTGAGATAACAAAGTGTGGAGCTGGAGGAACACAGCAGGCCAGGCAGCATCAGAGAAACAGGAAAGCTGACGTTTTGGGTCAGGACCCTTCTTCAAGCTGGCAGGGGAGGTCCACTGGATTTCAGCACAAGCCCAGCCACTGCAGGCTAGTCTGCCATCTTAGAGTCTGAAATTCAGGCATTATTATGGCCGTGGTAGCCACCAGTCATTTAAATGCTTCCATTTCTGATCAAAGTGCTTCAGTTGTTGGAAGGATGTTCATAACCAGAAGTCACACAGTATTGAGTATTTCCGATCCAAAACATCAGCTTTCCTGTTTCTCTGATGCTGCCAGGCCTGCTGTGTTCCTCCAGCTCCGAGCTGTGTTATCTCTGACTCCAGCATTGGCAGTTCTATAGGAGAAACACACCTACAATTTCATCTCATTATTACACACATTGGGGCATCCAGTAGTGACATAATTGTGCACTTTACTGAGCATTACATCCTTGCAAATTTCTTCAATAACTTCTCCAGCAGACATTGGCACATCAAATTGTGTAAGTAAAATAATTCATAGGTAACTTTGTAGCTAATCAACCTTCGAGGGAAATCTAAAAAGAACATCTGCATTTGTACGATCTGCAGCTTTACAATATTTAATATTGTCCCATTTCTGATTTAACCACTTGGTTCTTTTTGCTTAATGATCACTTTGTGCTCACTTTTCCCATGATTGGCCTCACCCTTACTGAGCCCAATTGAAGGTAACTCAGCCACTTTTAAACATATTTTCTTAAGGCAATTACTTCTCATCAGGAAGACTTTTTTGTTTTGGTCCTGAACTATTCCATTGTAAGTAACAGAATTGAATTTCACTCCAACACCCACTTCTTAACACTGTTGTTGGAATATTTAGTCAGTTTCGTGCCACTGTTGTATAAGTACTCTGACTTAGGGATTCCTTGTACTCTCCTTCTGAAATAACAGGCACAGCTACAGCTGTAGCAAAGACGAAAGCAAGTTATGAATTTTTGTAACTGGATTTGCTCCTCCCAACAGAGAGGGCAGTATAACAAAATGTTCAGATCTTGCAATATACCACATGTGGTAAGAGTCAAGATCAGAATAGTTTAATTTTGACACTGGACTCTGGAATTATAGCTTCAATATTACTCCTCTCATCTGCCATGCAGTTCTTTTTTTTTGCTTTCTGACTGAATACAGCTTCTGATCTTCTTGCTCAATAACGTCAAATTCTGTTTCCACATCTATCGTACATGCATTGACCAGCTTTAACTTTACCATAACCTCATCCTGGTGCATGGATGTGACCAGAAACATCACTGTTGCCTCAACGCTGTGTGACTTCTGGTTATGAACATCCTTTCAACAACTGAAGCACTTTGATCAGAAATGGAAGCATTTAAATGACTGGTGGCTACCACGGCCATAATAATGCCTAAATTTCAGACTCTAAGATGGCAGACTAGCCTGTGCTGAAATCCAGTGGACCTCCCCTGCCAGCTCAGGAAAATAACTTCCTGCAATTCTCCACTATCTCTTTTATTTACTTGAATGTGGGCATTGTTGGCTACCCAAAGCTTACTGCCTGGAGGGCAGTTAAGAGTCCACTGCATTGCTGTGGTTCTGGAGTCACAGATTCACCAGACTAGGCAAGGACAGCAGATTTCCTTCCCTAACCACTGTTAGTGAATGAGGTTGTAGACATGCTTACCAAGCCAGTGGGTTTGGTTACAAACATTTCATCACTCTGCTAGGTAACATCGTTAGTGCGCCTCCGGTGAAGCGTCGGTGTTCTGTCCTGCTTGTTATTTATATGTCTCAGTTTGTTGGGGCTGTTGCTATTACTTCCAGTTCTGTTTCTCAGTGATTTGTAATTCAATGTGTATGTTGATGAAGTTCCGATTAGAATACCAGTGGCGTGTTTCTATTTGACTTGTGTGATTATGGATGTGTTGTCCCAGTCAAATTCGCACAAGTTAAACAGAGACACACCAGGGAATTCCTGGAGGGCTGGCATTCTAACCATAACTCCATCAACAAACACATTGATTAAGACCCTGGGTACAAACCACTGAGAACAGAACCAGAAGTAATGCCAACCACCCCAGCAAACCGAGGCATATAAATAACAAGCAGGACAGAATACCGCTGCTTCACCAAAGGTGGCTGACGTTGTTACCTAGCAGGGTGACGAAATGTTTGCAACCAACCGCACTAGCTCAGCGAGCATGTCTACAACCTCATCCACAACCTGAGCTACAAATCTTCTCAAACTTCACTGTTATTGAACCAGATAGTTTTTCACAACAATTTGCAATGGTTACATTGTCATCAATGGGCTAGCTTTCCTGGTTGAATTCCAGATTTGTATTATTGAATTCAAATCCCACCCTCCTCCATTGTGGGATTCAAACTGATGTCTCCAGAACATGAGCCTGAGGTTCTGGATTATGAGCCCATTGAATATTATCTCTACGTCCCCACCTCCCCATTACATTATTTCTACAGCAGTGGCCTCATCACTGACCCCCTACAGCCTATTGCCTTTGTATAAAACTTGGTCTAGCTTCTGTTGTTCTTCAGGCCTCCTATAAATTTCTAAGTTCCCCCTACCCACAGTGATGATAGTTTCTTTAATTTGAGAATGTAATCTGCAACAGTCTCATTGGTAACTGCAAGCAACTCTCATTGCAATTTCATTCTCAACTCATAAATGCCACAGCTAAGAATTCCATTGAACTGGAATCTCAAAGGTATCATTGATTAAGCACTCTGTCAAAAACATCTGGCCCCATCATGGTGAGGAAAACATTAACTTGATTCCCATTTCCAATTTTATTCACTTTCAACAAAATATTAAACCTTCATTTGTAATTTCACCAGTCTTTCTTGTTAGGGTTGAAATCTCACATTGTTCCCCAAATATATTTTTAGCGTCTTTTTTTTTTCAATTACATACCATGCTGACTTAATACGATGCATGCACTGAACAATCTTTCCATTTGCTCAAACCCCCTCAAGATTACCTTCAGAAGTTCCAAAAGTGTCTCCCAATATTCTTAAGACATTAATTTCTCAAATGAAATTCAAAAATAAAATTCCATCCCATGCCATCTTTTGTTGTGAATTGTCTGGAATAAGGCGAATACACACTCGGCTGGAGATGCCCATGAGCAAACTAACTTTATTTGCACCTCCCAACAGAGAGGGCAGTACAACAAAATGTTCAGATCTTGCAATATACACGTCATAAGACGAGTCAAGATCAGAATAGATCATGTGGCCTGTGGATGTCTTACACCTCCAGTTCTCAAACTCAAATATATGGCATCCAATTTATGGTTCAGGAAGCATATGAGTTTGCAAATTATGAGGAGGAGTAGATCACATAGCCCCTCTTGTTTGGAGAAATACAATTGGACACATTGTGCTAGCTGCAGTCATGTGACCGCTCCCCTTAACTTGTTTACACCTTAGTTCTGTAGCAGCCCTTAAACACAATACCCCTAACTGAAGGAGATTATTGCTGATCTGATTGTGGCCTCAAATCGACATGCCTGTTGACCCTGATAAGCTTTGGCTGCCTTCATAGCTAGGAATCTATCTACCTCTGCCTTAAAATATTCAATGACAGTGCCTCCACCGCTCTCAGGGGAGCTCCAAAGACTCCTAACCCTCATAGAAAAAAAGCTGCCTCTCATCTTTGTCTTAAATGAGAGACCCCTTACTTTTAAAATGTGTCCCCTAGTTCATGTCTGTGCTACTTTATTGGTGAATCACTCAAGTGAAAATTAGCACTTGGGCAAGACATTGTAAATTGTACTTTAGGCCTATTAAGAGAGCTGGGACACGTGTCTGTCCAAAACAATGAGGCCCAACTGCAGCCAAAAATGGAGTGTCATTAAGTCAAAGGGAAATCAGACTCTGCTGGTCGTACAGTTCCTCTTGTTCAGCCATCGAGTACGAGACTCCTTAACTCATGGCAAATTAATTCTGGAATAAGATGAAGAGTGGGTTGCAGTAAAATAATAACATACAGTAGTGTGAGCTGTTGTCACTTTGACATTTTAGAGATTTTTTTCTCAGAGAAAAACCTATTTATTTGGTGGGCACTGCTTAAGCCACAGTGGTATTATAAGAAAAATAAACAATGTGGTCTACTTCACTCTATCTAAACCAGTTAGAACAAGTGAGGCTTAAATCCAGCACCGGGTCCATCAATTGCAATGATAACGAACATACTGCCTGTTTTAGGTGGCCACCCTGGATGCCTACAATCCAATCAACATGGCAGCACCCATAATGCAGCTGCACATTGGGTGGAGATGTTGAAGATTGACCTCTTTGACTTCCTTTCTCTGCTAAGAAAACAGATATAACATGGATCAATACCTAAACCCTCTGATCATGCTTGATGACCACACTCCAAAATGTTACAGCTTTGAGGGAGCAACTGGAAAGTCTAAGCAAAAGCTGGTTGAATCATTCCAATCCAAATTGAGTTAAAATATTATATTGGTGCCCTGTACCAGGACAAAAACCAACTGCTTCTGAACGTCTCTTTCCATATGGCGATAACTAAACTCCACGTCAAGCATTCGATATTAGATTATAATGCCTAAATTCTATTGTGTTGTTATTATAACCTCGCACCAGAGGTGGCACTGTGGTGTTTCCCTGCTTCAGTTTTCGAATTTCCAAAATCTTCAAATGGTGTTCGGACTCATTATACAGCTTTGTTTTTCAAACTTACTGTTTAATTTTAAATAAAACAATGACGAAGGACAGAGGATGTGCAGTTGAGTGGCAGGGAGCAGAGTGGACAGCAAGCCGGTTACAAGGCAGGAAATTGCAAGTAGAAGCTAACTTTAGCTATTCAGACTGGTGATAGATGGGAAGTGGTATTCCAAAGATTAGCATGGTACCATTGTTAATCACATAACTATTTACATTATTAATCAGGACTTGGGAATCAGAAGTACATTCGAAAATCTTGCAGATGACACAAGGTTGGAAGATAGTCAATAATGTGAAAATTCCAGAAAAATATTAATGTCTTCAAACTGAAAATATAATTGACAAATTACCTATAATATAGATAAATGTGTTATGGCATTTTTGGTAAGAAGAGTAATAAGCCAAATAAACTTTGAAAAGAAAGAATCTAAATGGTAAAAAGGGGCAAAGGAATCTCGGGTTGCAGATAAATCAAACACTAAAATTGTCACCAGAGATTAAGAAGATCCCCAAAATAGATCAAAGAAATGGGATTAGGAGATGAATTGAAAAGCAGAGAAGTGATGTAATAGCCATATAGAATCCTATTTAAGTCACACTCCAAGGGGATACAGAGGAGCTGGAGAAGGTGTAAACAAGATTTACATGAATGATACCAGAAACGAGAAGCTACAACCATCAGGAAATATTGAACTGGCTGGGACTCTTTTCTCCAATAAACGAGGTCCAAGGGGTTAAAAAATTAAGATTATGAAATGGGTTGGCAGCTTAAATGTAAAGAAGAGATTTTTAAAAAAGGGATAGGCCAAAACCAAGAGCCACAAATACAAGAGAGCAACTAATAAATTCAATAGGAAATTGAAGAGTGAATTAAATATATTTACACAGATAGTGGTTAGAATGTGGATCTTGCAGTTGAAGCGAAAAGCAGGGTTGCATTAAGGGGAAGCTTGGTTGGGAGGAGAGAGGAAAGAAGAAAAGCACAATACAATAGAATTGAATGCAGAGGGGTGATAGGAAGCTCATGTGGGACATAGACATTAAGGTAGACTAACTGAGCCAAAGGCCTGCTTCAACATTGCAGCAATTACGTAAAAATATCTACAAGGTGAAAATCTTTAAAATTGCGCAGGAGTGTACAATGAATGGAAGGAAACCATTCTCTCTCATGATTTTAGTTCATCCAGAGAGGACTGTGGCATTCTGAGCTCAAGGTTTGAGATGGAACTCACCCCCCTGAGAGAGATCACGGCGATACTGATTCGGCTTGGCTTTCTTTTTGGACCGGGCTTTCTGGCTGGGTGGAGTGTTCATGCTGCTATTCCCCATCACCGGAGTGTGTCTCGTCTTTCCTGGAAATCAGATAAAAATGATTAGGGGCAGGTAAAGTCCACCAGGAGTCAGGGTGAAACGTGAATGGAAAGTGAGATATTTGGAATGTTGCAGATTAAAATTGCATGTTGCAGGCTACAGACGAGATACTGCAAGCATTTTATTCCCCCAAAAAAGCACTAGGTCATACTGGGTGTAATCCCAGAGTTCCATTCCCCAAGCATCATTTCCCCTTACCATCCCTCTGCATTCCTCCTCGGTCTTGCTGGAGTCCCATGGAACCTCACCCACCGTCCTGCAAAAATGCTATCTCATATTCACAATTTCTCTGCCTCTGCCGCATCTGCTCCCAGGATGAGGCATTCTACTCCAGGACATCTCAGATATCCTCCTACTTTAGGAACTGTAGTTTCCCTCCTCTGTAATTAATGATGCCCTCAACTGCATCTACCCCATTTCCTGTGCTTCTGCTCTCAAACCCTCTCCCCCACAACCAGAATAAAGATAGAGTCCCCTAAGTCCTCACATACCATCCCACCAATCTCCGAATACAACACATCATTCTCCGATATTTCTGCAACTTACAATCAGGCCCCACCACCAAAAAGATATTTCCCTCCCTTCCCCTGTCCACTTTCCGCAGGAACCGTTCAGTCCGCGACTCCCTCGTCAGCTCCACACTCCCCACCAATCCTTGCACCACACTCGGTACCTTTCCCTACAACTGCAGGAGGTGCTATACCTTCCCCCACACCTCCCCTCTCACCTCCATCCAAGGCGCCAAACAATCCTTCCAAATCTGGCAGAGATTTACCTGCACTTCACCCAACGTCATCGACTGTGTGCATTGCTCCCAATGTGGTCACCTCTATATCCGGGAGAGCAAACGCAGACTTGAGCATCTGCGCTCTGCACGCACCAACCAATGTGACCTTCCAGCTGCCATCCACTTTAACTCCTCCTCCCATTCCCCTGGTGACATGTCCATCCTTGGCCTTCTCCACTGTCAGAGTGAGGCCAAACGTAAACTGGAGGAACAACACCTGATATTTCGCCTTGGGAGCTTACAGCCCAATGGCCTCAATATTGACTTCACCAGCTTCAAAATGTCTCCATCCCAAACCTGTCCATCTTCCAACTCACCTATGGGCTCCACCCTTCGAACTGACAAACCACAATAACCCCCTACCTGCATCCACCTCTTTCCATCTCATTTATACTCCCTCTAGCCCCATCCCCCCTCTCTTTATTTATTTCTGGGCTCCCCTCCCCATCCTCAGTCCTGACAATGGGTTTGGTCCGAAACATTGAGTTCCCTGCTCCTCAGATGTTGTCTGACCTGCTGTGCTTTTCCAGCTCCACATTTATTAACTCAAGCTTCCAGCAACTGCATTACTGTCATTATTGTCTCCATTACTGCGGATCCTTGCTCTCTAGTACCTCAGTGAGGCACATTTTTGACATGGTGCCAGGTGCAAGAGTGTGAATGGAGCAATCAAACATGCTGGGCATTGTGGTCAAGTCTTTCTGTAGCCAATGTCCACACTTTTAGTGATCAGGAACAGGACAAGGGCAGCAGATGTGTAGGAAAACCACAATGTGCAAGTTCCTCTTCATGTCGCAAGATGTTAATATTGCTTTGTGCAGCCATAACCTTCAAGGCCCCACTTTGTCTAAGCACCCTATAATCTGTATGTGTGTGTTTGTTTATGATCTGTCTGTACTGCTCGTAAAACAAGGCTTTTCATGGTACTTAGGCACATGTGACTACAATAAATCAGATCAAACCATCCTGACTGAGACATGAATTGCTGTTCATTTAGTACCTCTGGGTCAATATCCTGGAGCTCATCCCCTAAGGGCATTGCACCAAATGGATTGCAGACATTCAAGAAAGCACTTTCTCAAGGACAACTTAGGGATGGGCAATTTTAAAAAAAGCAAAATACTGAGGATACTGGAGATTTGAAATAAAAACAGCAGGTGCTAGAGAAACCCAGTAGGCTTGGTAGCATCTATGGAGAGAGAAAAACAGAGTTACCCTTTTGAGTCCACTGATTTGCTGGAGAAACTCAGCAGGTCCGGCAGCATCTGTGCAGAGAGAAAACGAGTTACCCTTTTGAGTCCACTGATGACAGCTCAGAGACATCATTGGACTTGAAATATTAACTTGTTTTCTCTCTGCACAAATGCTGCCGGACCTGCTGAGTTTCTGCAGCAACTTCTGTTTTAATATGGGCAATAAAAATCTAGCACAGCCAGCAATGCCCACAATCCCATGATGCCATAAAAAATAATTTCCTCCTTTCCAATGCCATGGGAATCTTAAGGGCAGTTATGGTAGCCTTGTTGGTGCTGGGGCTAAATATGATCAGCTGGCAATCACCCCTTCTTGACAGAAAAGCTGTTGTATGTGACATGCTACTTAGTGAAAATATATATTTCCAGTGTAACAGTTAAATAGTAACACTTTAAGCAGTTCTCTTGTTTATCTTCACAATGGATTTTCCTCCAATCCTTTGTTGTCTTTTTGAAAGAATTGCCAAAGATATTTCCCTGCAACATGTTGAAGTGGAATGTTGCTTAAATAGTAAAGTTAAGTGTTGCAGAAAGCAGTGCAACAATACTCTAATTGCAGAGTTGACATCCTAATAGAGTTGATGAATCTGACCTGCAACAACATCAGACCTTCAACATTTTGTTACATTACATTTCACACTAGATACCAAATCATTGTCCATGAGACAGATCTTGCAACACGCAAAGTGCCTACACCTGGAATGCCATCATAACATTTGGAACGCTTCATCTCAACAAGGCAATGGAAGAGGATTCCGCAAATTATTTTCAATGAGAGTCAGGAAAATACTATTAGGGGAGGTTATGACCTAGTGGCATTACTACTGGACAGTTAATCTAGAGACCCAGGTAATGTTTGGGACAACATTTCAAATACCAGAATGCCTAATGGTGGAATCTGAATTCATTAAAAAGAAAATCTGGAATTAAGAGTCTAGCAACGAACCCATTGTTGATTGCCAGAAAAATCCATCTGGTTCACTAGTGTCCTTAAGGGAAAGAAACTGCAATCCTTTCTTGGTTTGACCTACAGCAATATTGTTGACTCTTAACTGCCCTCTGGGCAATTAGGGATGGGCAATAAATTTTGGCCTAGCCAGTGATGCCCTGATCTCATGAATGAATCACAGAAAAATACTTGAGGATAAGCAACTTACAGGATTACATGAAAAAATAGGAAAGGTGGGACTAAGTACTCTTTCAAAGAGCCAGTACAGGTATGATAGACAGACTGACCTCATTCTGTGCTGCAAGTTTCTGTGAACAAGATATGAGTGTGTTGAGAAATGTTCAGGCTCCAGGTTGTACCACAAAAAGGTAAAAAGATGCAGCATGTAGTCTTCTAAACAGACCTCAGACAGGAAGCAAGACTATTTTAACTGTCTTTAATACCATTTGATTTAGTTTTTGAATGGAAGGACTGAGTTGAGTGGTCTCCCTCAGTTGCACAATGAGCAAATGCAATCCATGATCGAGTACAGAGACAATTCAGCAAAGAAAGTCTTCGTTCAGTGCCAGGGTGCTTCAATTACTTTCAGGAACTTCGTGCTACAGAGTGTGGTAAATAGCAAGCAGCATGGCTACTAGTGACTGTAGCACCACCCCTTGGGAAAATGTACAAGTGGCCACTAGGGGAGGATCAGATTTGACCCAATGGTGATGGCTTCTATTGTGAGTAGCCTACCAAACTTTCAATATTGAGGCTCAAACATGAACAATAATCAAAACCTTGGATGAAGGCTGTTTAATGTCAGTGCATTTTCCATACTGAGACATACCATTCTGAGAAGTAGATGGGCCAGAAAAACAATCAGGTCTAAGTTAATCCACAAAGCACTTGTTTGGAATTAAAGCATCACTTTGGGGAGGGGCATGGGGGTTGGATTCAGTTTTCAAACTGATAAAACTCACGACTAACGCTGGCAAGAAGAGAACAACATTGCGCACCAGATCATTACATAACAGCAACTTCCATATTGAGTAAGATATAACACAACTTCCCTGAAGCTCGCTTATAGAATTAGATCCCAGTTACTCTGCAACATTGTGTGCCTAAGGTGATTACAGTCAATCAATGTCACTTCACAGAGCAGAACATAACCAACATTAGGCATCTGTTAAACATCTGTTGAACAATATACACATGGCAAAACATCTGTTCAACAGGTGTCTTTGCTCATGCACTTGCCCATTTTGCTGACTTTGTTTTCGTGTAAATTTCCTTCCTTTCCCTAACTCTCAGGTGAGTGGTCATGCCTCACCTGTTCCAGGTACACTGACATTCTCATTGCTTATTGCTGGTGTCTGGCTCAGGTTGCGTCTGTGTCCATGCCGATGGGGAGCAGCAGATTCTACAATAGTGTCTTCAGAACCATTCATGTTTTGGCTGTTCTGTGATGGTGGAGGAGTTGGTGGTCTAGGCAGAGGGACTGGTCCAACTGGGAGTCGCCTGAAACAGAAGCGCAACTTGTGTTAAAAAGTAACATTCACAATCCACAAATTCCCAGCTCCTCCCAAGAAACAGCATCAAAATTCAATGGATAAATCTACCAGTTTTGTGAGTAGTCAAGGCTCAGTCTGGCTCCCATCATTTTGCTGGGGTCTCCTGGTACAGCAAGAAAGTGACAAAATACTCTATCCCACTTACCTGTTCATTAATAAAGAATTCTAAAAACTTACACCTCACATTCCTTTCAGCTTATCGTGCCTGTATTGGCTCAAAATGTCACACAGCACCCCACCTCTCCCTGTCACTTCCTTGCTCTTCTCTGTAATTTCTTCCTCTCAAATATGCATGACTAGTTCCTTTCTCTTTTGCAATTGCTTCCACCACCTTCCAACCAGGGAATATCAGATCATAACAATGTAATATAATATAAACTATGATTTATTCAAGTTTGTATTTTGAATTTTGAAGTGCTAACATATGGGTTTTCTGTGTGTCTGTAGTTGATAATCAACTTGTACTTCTGTAGCCATGGTGATTTCTTATAAAACAGTTTGTGAGGGCTAATTTGGTAGGTTTCTGACATTTCTGCCACTGCGTCCAGTTTCTCCCCAGTTACTTGATCAACATCCCACAATTAAATTATCTCTTTGACCTCCTCTGCAGAATTTATTCAGATAAAATTGATTGGCTCATGACTGAGACGCAATAGCCAACAGCCGAGTTATGGATGGACAAGGTCACAGAGATTTGAAATGAAATAATAGAATTCATTCACTGAACCATTTCGTGTAGTTATCAAATCTTTGCTTCCCTGTCTTATTCTATAGTTCTTTTAACTACTTCAGAATAAAACAAACAGTCAACATATACAGTACTTATAGTGACCAACTTGTAAACACACTCACCGGGGTAAATGTGGTATCTCAAACTGATGCAGCCTTGGGATGTCCTCAGTGGCACTGTGGCCGGTTGAACGTGCCTCTTCCCGAGGTGAGGGTGTCAGTGTTGCGGTGGATTGCTGCCCATATGAAGTAGCCGGAGATGATGCCTCTCCACGAGGTGGGGGGGGTGGGCCTTCATCATCATGGCAGCCTTCCACTAAATAGGTCCTTTCAGGGAGCGGGGGGCACCACTCATCAATGCTAGGGCTGCAAAAAGATGGGAGCAATTCTTACTCTTGAAAAGAACAGAAGGGAAATATTTCTCTCACATTCAGTTTGGAATTGGAATCACATGTGTCTTGCATTGCTGAGTAGACTCTTGGAGGTTAGTAGCATCTCAAAGTTGTTAGAGACCTCTGATGATCCATTCCCACCTCTCCCCGCACTGACAGGAAAGCATTGATGTAAGGTTAACATTTTGAAAAGCACAATCCTGCTCCCAACTAGCCATTGTAATAAAATGGCATTAACCACGGTCATCCCAGAGATTCCCATTAAAGGCAGGTGGGGTCTATGAAGAAAAATTCATTTATACAGCACCTTTTATGACTTTACTAGTTATTTTCCTGTGGTTTATGATCTGGTTCATCCTTACAACCTCTCTCACCATGATTATCAATGTAATGCCAATTGATATTGAATTCTGGCCTGCTGTGTGCCCAAGGCTTATACCCTGAGGAATTCTGGTTGAGTTCGCACCAAAACCAAAGAAGATCCTCAGACCTAGGCCCAAGGGTGCAAGACACACAGTATCTCAGAGGATTGACTTGAGAATATTTACAGTGAACACTCCCACATCACACCACATATACATACTCCAACTCTTCTTCATCCTCATATGAATCAATGTCAACACTGGGTGGAGGTGGTGGGAGTAAATCTGTCCAGTTCATGGGTGGAGCTTTCACCGGCTTGGCATTTAATTTCTGCTTCCCAGATTTCCCACCTGTGGGAGGAAGAGCATTGATTAGTACATCTACGCTTTCACTTTCGTTAGACATTGCTGGATCTGCTTCTGATTTGGATTAGTCTGAATGCGACATATTGCTCCTGTGACCCTTTGGAGCTTTCATGTCTGACGTTGAACTTTCCCCTGTCCTTGGTGGATATCATAAGCCCCTGAAGCCACCTTTGGAAGAGCCAGAATCTTCCAATTCTCCTTGGATGCAGGGAATGCGCCAGACCATTAGAAAAATGCAAACAATTCACCTTTGAAGAAAAGTGGGTAAAAATAAACTGCAAGCAAAGCCCCCCTCCATAATCCCCAATTCTCCCATTGTTCAGCATGGACTAGTTGGACTGAAGCATCTGTTTCCATGCTGTATGACTCTATAACAGTATGACACCTGGTAAAACACGAGGTGATATACATAGACAACAAATAACTGAGACAAGGAACAAGTGATGAAGAATGTGATGGTGTGGCACATGCTGCATGTGTAATATAGAGTTCAAGTGATCTCATTAACCTTTAAGGACTGGCATGATGTTTGTTTGCAGTAATCAAAGTTTAAGTGATCTTTAACTCCAAAGGTCTAGAAATTTTCATTCAAGTTAGGGGTTTTGAGGTTAGGGAAAAGTGCGTGAATATTCTCAGGTGGGTCAGCATAATGAAGGTGGACGTGTTGGGTGTCTTGAAATGCATTAAGTCAGACAAGTCCCCAGGGCCAGATGGAATCCACCCCAGGATTCTGTGTGAGGCAAGGGAGGAAATAGCAGGGACCTTAACAGATATCTTTGCATCCTCTTTGACTTTAGGCGAGGTTCCAGAGTACTAGAGCATGGCCAATGTTGTTCCTTTCTTTAAGAAGAGAAACAGAGATAATCCAGGCAATTATAGGCCAGTGACGTCAATGGTAGGGAAGTAGTTGGAGAAGATTCTGAGAGACAGGATTTATTCATATTTGGAAGTAAATGGACTTGTTAATAACAGGCAGCATGAATTTGAGCTGGGAAGATCATGTCTCACCAACATGTTTGAATTTTTTTGAGGTGGTGACAAGAATGATTGGTGAGGGAAGGGCAGTGGATGTCATCGACATGAACCTTAGTAAAGCATTTGATAAGGTATCTCATGGCTGGCTGGTACAAAAGGTAGAGTTTCATGCAGTCTGGGGTGAGCTGGCTAGTTGAGTACAGAACTGGCTTGGTCATAGGAGACAGAGAGTAGCGGTGGAAGGATGCTTTCCAGAATGGAGATCAGCAACTAGTGGTATTCGGCAGGAATCAGTGCTCGGACCTTTGTTATTTGTAATATATACAAATGATCAGGAGGAAAATGTAGGAGGTCAGATTAGTAAATTTGCAGATGACACTAAAATTGGCAGAGTTGCAGATAGTGAGGAGAATGGTCAAAGGATACAGTGGAATATAGATAGATTGTAGATTTGGGCAGAGAAATGGCAGATGGAGTTTAATCTGGACAAATATGAGATGACGCATTTTGGAAGGTCAAATGCAGGTGTGGATTATACAATAGTAACCCTTAGGAGTATTGACATACAGAGGGATCTGGGCATACAGGTCCACAAATCCCTGAAAGTGACAACACACGTGGATATGGTGGTCAAGAAGGCATACAGCATGCTTGCCTTCAATGGCTGGGACATTGAATATAAAAGACGAACTGGACTGATTTTGGGATGCGGTAGGGGGAGGGAAGATTTTGAAGCTTGTGAAAGCTCGTCCCCGGCTCCCTAACCTGTTCTTCCTCCCACCTATCCCCTCCTCCCACCTCAAGCCGCACCCCCATCTCCTACCTACTAACCTCATCCCGCCCCCTTGACCTGTCCGTCCTCCCTGGACTGGCCTATTCCCTCCCTAACTCCCCACCTACACTCACCTTTACTGGCTCCATCCCCGCCTCTTCAACCTGTTTGTTTCCTCTCCACCTATCCTCTCCTCTTTACATCTTCTATCCGCCTTCCACTCTCTCCCTATTTATTTCAGAACCCCCTTCCCCTCCCCCTTTTCTGATGAAGGGTCTACGCCCGAAACGTCAGCCTTTCTGCTCCTATGATGCTGCTTGGCCTGCTGTGTTCATCCAGCTCTGCACCTTGTTGTCTCGGATTCTCCAGCATCTGCAGTTCCTACTATCTCTTATTAAATTGTAGCCCCTGGTTCTAGACTCCCCAGCCAGGAGAAAACATCTTACCTGCATCCACCCTGTCTAACCTATTTTGTAAGTTTCAATGAGATCACCTTTCATTCTTGTAAACTCGAGAATATGGGCCAAGTTTGCCCAATGTTTTTTCACAGGATAGTCCTGTTATTCAGGGCTTTTGTTGTACACTCTCTATGGTAATAATATTTTACTTGATAAAAGAGACCAACACTGCACAGGTCTAACCAGGATCCCATACAAATTAAAGCAAGGCTTAAATACTTCTTACTGAAATCCTCTCTCAATAAAGGCTAACATTCCATTCACCTTCCTAATGGCTTGCTTCACCTGTATGTCAGCCTTCAGTGACTTATTGACAAGGACACCTCGATCCCTTTGTACATCTATACTTTCCAACCTCTTACTATTGAAGAAATAATCTGCACATCTGTTTCTTCTACCAAAATGGATAACCTCTCATTTTCCCATATTATATTCCATCTGCCATGTTCTTGCGTTTTCACTAAGCCTGTCCAAGTTCTGCTGAAACCACTTTACAACTTCCTCATAACTCACATTCCCGCTTAGCTTTGTATCATCTGCAAATTTGGAAATATTAAACTTGGTTCCCAATCCAAATTATTGATGTATACTGTGAACAGCTGGGGCCCAAATACCGATCCTTGTGGTAACCCAGTTGCCAACATGGGAATGACCCACTTTTCCCTCCTGTTAGCCAATCATTAGTCCATGCCTGTGCATTACCTCCTATCCCATCTGCTTTAATTATTTTTTTAACCAGTGCCCCGTGGGACACTTCAACAAAAGCCCTCCGAAAATCTAAGTATATAATGTCTATCGGCTCTCCTTTATCAATTTTGTTAGCAACATCTTCAAAAAACTCCGAGAAGTTCATCAAACACGATTTTCAATTCACAAATCCATGCTATGAACAATCATACCATTAACATCCCAATGTTCATTTACCACATCCCTTTGTAATAGTTTCTGGCATAATCCCCACTATTGATATAAAGCTTCTGTTTCCTCTCTGAATCCCTTAAATAGTGGGGTGATATTTGCTACCTTCCAATCCACAAGAGTTATTCCAGAATTTACAGTACTTTGCAAGATAATCACTAATGCGATTATCTCTACACCCTAAAGTTTTCAAGAAGATATGTAGCTCGGGTTGTGGATGGGGTTGTAGACATGCTTGCCAAGCCGGTGGGTTTGGCTGCAAACATTTCATCAGCCTGCTAGGTAACATCGTCTGTGCGCCTCCGGTGAAGCGTCAGTATTCTGTCTCACTTGTTATTTATATGCCTTAGTTTGTTGGGGTGGTTGGTACCAGTTCTGGTTCTGTTTCTCAGTGGTTTGTACACAGGGTCTAATTCAATGTGTTTGTTAATGGAGTTCCAGTTGAAATACTGGGCCTCCAGGAATTCCCTGGTGTGCCTCTGTTTGGCTTGTGTGATTATGGATGTGTTGTCCCAGTTGAATTCGTGTCTCTTGTTGTCTGTGTGTAATGAGACAAGTGAGAATTGGTCGTGTCTCTTGGTGGCCAGTTGGTGTTCATGTGTCTATATTGTCAGTTTTCTTCCAGTTTGGCCTTTGTAGTGTTTCTCACAGTCCTTGCATGCTATTTTGTATATTACACCAGTTTTGCTGTGTTTGGGTTTGGGTTTCTTTATGTGCGTCAGTAGCTGTCATAGGGTGGTTGTTGGTTTGTGGGCTACTCTGATACCTAGGGGTCTGAGTAGTCTTGTGGTCATTTCTGAAATGTCCTTGATGTATGGTACGGTGATTAGTGAGTCTGGTCGTGTTGTGTCTTCCTGTTGTGGTCTGTCGCAGAGGTAATGGTGGATTGTGCTTTTCGGGTATCTCTACAGTGACCTCCTGCAACTCTCTGGGATTTAGACTATCAGATCATGGAGTCTATCCACTTTCATCACCATTCATTTCTCCAGTAATCTTACAAATGCTGATTTCCTTCAACTCCGCCTCACCACTTAGGATCTCTAGTTCTGGGAGATTTCTTGTATCTTCATCAGTGAAAACAGACAAAATAATCATTTATCTTTTCTGCCATTTCTCTATTCCTCATTACAAATTCTCCTTAATCTGCCAGTCATAGGCTCACATTCATTTTAGTAGAACATTCTATTTTTACGTACCTATAGACACCTTTACAGTCTTTTTTATGTTACTTGCTAGATTGCATTCTTATTGTATTCTCCCTTGTTAATTCCTTTGCTATATTCAATAAATCTCTCAATCTTCAGAATACTACCATTTCTGGCAACTTTATAGGTCCTTTCTTTTAATCTTAGACAATGCTGAAATTCCTTTGTTAGTCACAGCTGACTGCCCTTTTTTGAGCTTTTGCACCTTGTACAAATGTATGTTTGCTGCAAGTCATGTAATAGTTATTTAAAGACTATCCATTCTCTGTGTAAAGTTATGCCTTTTAATGTGTTTTCCCAATCCACCTTGGCCAGTTTGTGTCTCATGCCTTCATAATTTCCTTTATTCAACTTTAACATCCTTGATTCAGAATGAACTCTCTTACTTACAATCATAATGTGAAATTCTTCAAATTGTGGCCACTCATCTCTAAAAGGTCTCTTATAATAAGATTGTTAATTAACCTTTTTTCATAACATAACACTGGATCTAAAACAGCACGTCCTCTAGTTGGCTCCTCAACTAGCTGATCTCAAAAAGCATTCTTACTACACTCTAGAAACTCATCCCCCTGTTATAGTGCATAGTTGGTTCACCCAGTCCATAACCAGCTTGAAGTCATCCATGATAAATGTGTTACTCTCATCTTCTGATTTATACCATGCCCCACACAACTACAACTATTTAGTGGCCTATAAATAAATCCAATCAATGTCTGCTGCCCCATGTTATTTCTTAATTCAACTCAAACATTTTGTTCTTCTGATCGGAGATCCTTCCTTATTAATGTATTGATCCCACCTCTGGTTATCATCACAATTCTCTCTCCTCTCCCTTCTTCTGTCTTTTTTAAGCATCACATATGTAACGAATAGAATCACTCTTTTTGTTTAAAAGAAATGCCTGAATACTTTGGCTTGTTTTAAAACAGCAGATAAATTGGCTCTGTGAGGAAGTTATACACAAAGGGAGGGATAATTTTTAAATTGTTGCCGCTGACCAATGGAGCTGCGTTAATAAAGAAGGAGAGCTGTTTAATCCCTCATCACCCAGGAGCATAATGTTTTGGGGTATCCCTTCTGAAACTAGAACAAATTTGGGAACCATGCCCAAGGTGTGGTCGTAACAAATAATCATGTGTTTGAAGTCCTGATCCAAGATCTACAGACACACATGCATATAATGAAGCTCATACATACAGAAACAAACGAGAAATGAACCTACAAACCATGAGTAAACAGCTCACTCATGAAACAGATACAGAAGCATGCATAACACATGGGTATCCATACATGCAGACATAATTAATGCACTTACATTATCCCCTCAAATACTCTGAGTATTTCCTGCCTCCCATTGTTTCCCAAAGTTTCTCAACTTATTTTCAAGTGTGGACCCTCCTTTTAAAGAAGAGACAATAAGACTACACTGAAAGAGACAGAGACAGCACTCGCCTAGTGGATTTTCCTGCTGTTTAGGCTAGACTGGGACCCATCATGTCAGAAAGGTTCACTCCGCTAAGTTAGGTGATGTACACCAACTGCTAAAAAGATGAATATTTGACTCAGCAGAGAGACCCAGAAATGCCCCAGGAAATTTTTGGAATCCTTGTTTTCCAAGACATGTTATTTATTTGAGACTGTGCTCGGCTGACTGTCTTAAAAAAAAGCAGGCAACTCAATCTCATCATCATTGCCCCTGATGCGTTCATCCGTCTATGGAGCCAATTCGACAGTGTATAACTAAAGTCAGTCAGAGCCAGATTTGAAGGGTTTGGTCAAATCAAACTAAATTAGCTAGGAGGCTCGCTTTCTTGCAAAACACATTGGATGTTATCTCAAATATTAATTTTGTGTCTGGAGATCGATAGATTTCATTCTGCCAAGGGCAATGTGAGGTAAGGTGAATGGATATGTGGAATTAGGATATAGGTCAGACATTGAGTGGTGAACAGGCTTGAGTAACTGAATGGCCTAATCCTGTTCCTATTTTCCTACAGCCTGACTACAAAGCTGCATTAGCAAAAGCAATTATAGCTTAAATGTGGAAGCAGGCCATGTGGCCCATTAAGTCAATGCCACCCCTCCAAATAGCATCTCACCCAAACCCACCCCCCTACCCTCTCCCTGTCATCCTGCATTTCCATGGTTAATCCACCTAACCTGCAGAACATGGGGCAGTTCAGCGCGGCCAATCCACCTAACCTGCACATCTTTGGACTGTGGGAGGAAACCGGAGCACCTGGAGGAAACGCACGCAGACACAGGGAGAATGTGCAAACTCCACACAGACAGTTACCAAAGGCTAGAATTGATCCGGGTCCCTGGCACTGTAAGGCAGCAGTGTTAACCATTGAGAGATAATAGGATCTGCCGATGCTGGAGTCTGAGATAACAAGGTGTGGAGCTGGAGGTATACAGCTGGCCAGGCAGCATCAGAGGAGCAGGAAAGGTGATGTTTCTTCAGAAGAAGGGTCCAGACCTGAAACGTCAGCTTTCCTGCTCCTCTGATGCTGCCTGGCCTGCTGTGTTCCTCCAGCTCCACACAGTGCTAACCATTGAGCCACCATACCACCCTACAATTTTCTATTGTGTACTGTTGGAGAATGTACAAGGAGCATGAGAAATAGTGTAAAGGATCTTAATTAAGTAAAATAGTTTGAATAGTATTGCCAGCTCACCACACCCTGGTCTTTCTAATCCATTGAAAGAAACCAATAACAAATTGTTCAGCTGATGAAGGGTAGCAGAGGATATCCAAGATGCGCCAAGCTGATGCATTGATGCTTTTTGTCTTTCTGATGCTAATGGTACCAACACTAATTTCAGTTAAAAATCAGTTTGATGAAATGGTGCCAAACATCTTACCAGCTTCTGACTTCCCACGTTCAGGCTGTGAGTACTGGGCATTGGAGGGTCCAGGCTGTAGGCCCCAGTGCCCATTGACAGGGTCGACTGTGTATTGGTTCTGAACTCCAAGTGGCACCACAGGTGTGCTGGCATAAAGTGTGGTCTGCTGAGGTGGGAAGGCCCCATTGAATGTGCGCATCTCATCGCTGGCAGAGTCAATGGTGCTGTAGATGGGGCCATCCGAGACCATTGTTCCAAACTTTTCCGTCTGGGCAATATAATTGGAAATGCCAGCATCTGGACCAAGATATGCAGCAGGTAAGACAGTCAAACACAAAGAGGTTTGTCAATCAAGTCTATTGAAAGCACAGGTTAACATAGCATATAATGTTCATTGATAATTTACTTAGCTTTCCTTAATGTGAATGCCCTAAAAATGTTGGTGTCTACAGGGACCCACCAAATCAGTAGAATTTGTTACAGCAGATTATTTCCTCCTTATCCCTTGATGGATGCCATTGGCAAAGCCAGCTAATGTGGCCCATCCCCAGTTGTACTGAGAGGAATGTTGAGGGCAGTTAAGTGTCCACCACATTGCTTAGGTCTGGTGTCACCAGACCAGGTAAGGATGGCAGATTTCCTTCGCTAAAAAACATTAGTGAAGCAGATGGGTTTTTACAACAACCAATGAGAGATGTCATGGTCACCATCACTGAGGCAACCTTTCAATTCAGGGTTTTTTTAACATGAAATTTAATTTCTACCAATGTCAGTGGATTTGAGGCCATGCTGTCACAGTATTATGTTAGACCTCTGGGCAACTAGGCCAGTGACATTACCATTTTGCTACCTTTAGTACAGTATTTCAGGTAAAGTGATATTCTGGGGTTAGTGCCCCCAGAGGTCATTTGTGGAAACCTCCAAGTTCATGGTTGGTCGAATGTTCAGTACATGATAAACAGGAAAGGTACTTGGAAACAGGGACAGTAATGAAGTCAGTGGCTTGGGAAAAGTGTTTGTATCAGCAACCGAAAACAATAGTCTCTGTCTTCCCAATATCTAACTTTAAAAAGTTTCTGCTCATTCAGTACTTGATGTCATAAAGCAGCCTGACCATCTGAAATGGTGCAGAGATCAAAACTGGGTGCTGTCAGAGAAGATATGAATCCTGATATTATGTTTTAGATGATGTCACTAAGGACCGGTGTGTTAGTGAGAAACAGGATGGTACCAAGAATAGATATTTAGCACCAGGCTGTGGGATAACTGAGTGGGAAGAGAACACACTGCAGGTGATTTGCTGGTGACTGGTACATGGATATGAATGGAAGCTGGTCATCCAGCTGGACAATGGAGGGTCCTGGAGGGTGATTCTGTGACTAAGGCCACAGACAAGTTGAGAAAGGTCATGAGGAATAGTTAATCAGGATTACCATCACATTATCATTTATTTGTGAATCTGTTAAGGACTGCTTTTCTGCTGATATAGGCACAGAAACCTGAGTAAAGAAGTTCCTCCCAAAATCCCTGTTGTATTTATTGGTTAACATCATTTATTCAGCCACCAGTGTTGGGCTTCCAACAATTGGTAGATGTTGTTCATCCCTAGTATTCTCATTTCTGGAAAAAAAGAACCCCTGTCTGTTCAGTCTTCCTTGAAGACATGCCCTTAAATCTTTTTTTACATCTTCTTAACTACATCTATACCTTACAGATAGTATGCAGAGCAGGAGTATATTCCAAATGTGGTGGAACCAAACTTCTACCCAAGTTTAACCTGCAGTGCTGTACTGAGGGAAGACTGCATCATTGGATGTACATGTCACGATCTATCTAAAATCTGTCTATTCTAACATGTCCTGTAGCACGTTAAAAGATATCAGAGGTTGTTCATGCATCTTATGGTCAGCATTATTCCCTTGGCTGGTGCCATCAATAAGATTTACTAGCTCCCCAGTTCACTGACTGTCTGAAGTCCAGTGTGCAAAATGCCTGCTCAGGTGGGATAACAGAATTCTCACAGCACAGAAGGAGGTGATTTGTTACATCATGTCTGCACTGGTTCTCCCAAGGAACAGTTCAGCTTGTGCCATTCCTCTGCCTTCTCTCTGTAACTGCATTTTTAGTCTTTTCCCTTCTAAATACCTAACATAACAGTAAATGCACTGTAAAAAAAAGTTGTCTATTGATAGCAGGTCAAAGCAACTGAATGAAGTGACTATCATCATGCAAGTGCAGGTTCTTTATGCATCGGGGTGGGTAGGGGTGTCTGTGTCTGTGTGTGGTGGAGGGAGTAAGTGATTGTAAAATTGGGAAATTTCCGCAATGTGCCCTTAGGTAGTCGGGCTTTGCATTAACATATTTAAATTGTATTCCCACAGTACAATCGGGAGCCTGAATCCAATTTAACAGTTGACACCTAGATTTCCCAGGGCTCGGGAAAACCAGCAGCAAAATGTAGCCAGGAGCTGATGGCCCCACAAGAAAAATGGCTCCTTGTTCCTCAGCCTTGCACTATACTGATGTGCTCTCGAGCATTCTGCACAGACTCCTTACAAATATCCTGCCCGTGCCCTGTGCTTGGCACTTTGCCACTGCATCACATTCAAAAACAGGAATTCAGCACAGATGGGGCTAAGGGCATGACATGTGCTTTGATGTGGGCATGCAAGGGTTAGTTTACTGACTCCGTTATCTGAGGCCTAAATTAATCTGGCAGAACACTGAACTTTTACTGCAGTCGTTTGAAAATTAGAATGTACTTCAGAACATTTGAAAACAGTATGTTGTTATCATTAAAAGCTGTGAGGTTGCAGTAACAGCTTAACCAGTTGACCACAGTTCTTTGGGGAAGGCAACCATAAGCTGTTAACTGGCCCGGCCTACACTTCATTCCAGTCCCAAATCAATACGGTTCACTCTTAACTGTCCTCTGGAGTGGCCACACAAGTCAATCAGTTGTATCAAACCGCAGAAGCTGTGGCTCACACCATCTTCGAAATCAATTAGAGGTGGACAATAAATGCCAACTTTTGCCAACAACAACCGTATTCCAAAACCAATTTTTAAAAGGCTTGCTGCAGCAAAACGCCCTCGCATGTCGCCATTTAAGTTTGAGGAAATGGTCATTTATCTCATTACTGACAGCCTGATGTGGCTGTACATCATTTCATTGGTTTCCTGAGAAGGGGGCGTACGGATATGATTCTTCGCAACCAATGTGGAATTGTGCCATTGTGCCCATAGGCAGCATAATTCAGAAAATCAAAAAGGTGACCTGCTGGTGTAACCAGCAGTCCCTGGGAATATGTTTCTCTCACAGCACCAACACCCAGGGACACATAATGGGTTGTTGCCAGACAGATCTCCTGCCCTTGTGCGCACTCACCATTGTAGAATCGCTCCGTAGCTTCATGCTTTGCCATACAGGAGCTGGCAGTGGGTTCCTTTCCATTCCCATTCCGCATCAGGTTGGAAGCTGGCCACGAGTCTGCCAGCCAGGGGTAGTTGGTGACGTTTGCGTTCAGCATTCCTGGCCTAAGAGAAGACATCAGGAAGTGAACACCATAACCTTGGTTCACTGATCGAAAACTTCAGCAGATTTGTTTTTAAAGGAGCTGATTGGAACTTACCTGCTGCTTGCAATGCCCGCGGTCTCTGCATGTGGAAAAGCTACTGCATGAAAGCAAACACCAGTTAAAACTTTACAAGAAACTGTATCCTTAAGTCACAGTGAAGGTGTAGGATAATTAGACTGGAAAAAGATTATTGCATGCAGGCCATTATAATGCAACCTTGCATAGTAACCTCCCACCCTCTAGTATTGCTACTTTCTGGGAGAAGCAGAAAGAAAAATCTGTCATCAATTCATGAAAAATGTGGATAATTTCCAAAAGAAAGCAAAAAAAAGATAAAGCATCTATGTTAAGTCACAGTACATTAAACTCATTCATAAAAATAATGGTGCCAGGGATGAGGAGCTTCAGTTCTATATAAAGATTAGACAAGTTGTGGCTGTTCTCTTTGAAGAGCAGGTTGAGAGAAGATTTGTTCGAGCTGTTCAAAATCTTGAGGGGTCTAGACCATGTGGCTGGCCAGTACGAGGTTTCTCTGAAATTCTGTGCACTCTGTTTTTCAATTCCAGTCTCCCTGCTATAGGAAAGATGTTGTTAAACTTGAAAGGGTTCAGAAAACATTTACAATGATGTTGCCAGGGTTGGAGGGTTTGAGCTATGGAGAGAAGCTGACTAGGCTGGGGCTATTTTCTTTGGAGCGTCGGAGGCCGAGGGGTGACTTTATAAAATCCTGAGGGACATGGATAGGGTGAATAGACAAGGTCTTTTCCCCAGGGTGGGAGAGTCCAAAACTAGAGGACATAGGTTAAGGGGAAAGATTTAAAAGGGACCGAAGGGGCAACTTTTTCAGATAGAGGGTGGTGCATGTATGGAATGAACTGCTAGAAGAAGTGATGGAGGCTTGTACAATTACAACATTTAAAATACATCTGGATGGGTATATGGATAGGAAGGGTTTAGAGGGATATGGGCTAAATGCTGGCAAATGGGACTAGATTAATTTAGGATATCTGGTTGGTGTGGATGAGTTGAACCGAAGGGTCTGTTTCCATGCTGTACACCTCTATGACTCTATGATCGGTGTGCCAAAGCATTGGTTTAGAAGTTACTGCCATGCACTGACCTTGGAGGTGCGCAAGCCAAAAAGAAAATTAAAGGGAGTATTGGTCTGAACAGGGTAGATGCAGAGAACCTGTTCCCAAGGATTGAGAATCAGAGGGCACAGAGCTGAAGTGATTTACAAAGAAGCAACGTGAGCACGGGGCATAATCATAGAATCATGCAGTACAGAAGAGGCCCTTTAGCTCATTGAGTCTGTGCCACCAAAAGTACACTACTACCTACAGTAGTCCCACTTTCCAGCACTAGGCCCATAGCCTTGAATGTTATGATACTTCAAGTGCTGATCCAAGTACTTTTTAAATGAGGTTTTCCATTTCAACTACCATCCCAGGGAGTACATTGCAGACCCACCATTCCCTGCATGAAAAGGTTCTTTCCTCAAGTCTCCTATAAATGCCTGCCTTTCACGATAGATTTATGCCACCTCGTCATTCATCCTTCAACTAAGGGGAAGCGCTGCTTTCTATTCACCCTGTCCATGCCCCTCATAATGTTATACACCTTTATCAGGTCACCCCTCAACCCTCCCTGCTCTAAAGAAAACAACCTGAGCCTTTCCAGCCTCTCCATGTTTTTTTCCCCAAGGTATTTTTGAATACTCAAGTCCTGTATTATCAAACAGCTATGCATGTGCCTGAGACTAAAATATTGTTACAAAGCGAATGGTTCACACCTGGATTGCACTGCCTGAGAATGTGATGGGGGGAAAAGTGTCAACTGAAACTTTCAAAACATGGATCATTTAGCTGGACTTTACTGAAAGGTAAACTGGATGCCATATTTCATACATTAGAACCGTGACCGCGTTTCATAAGCACATCACTCCTTGTAAACCACTTTGGAATGCCCCATAGTCTTAAAAGGTACAGTGTAAACCCACATCCAAATTCCATATTTCATGGAACGTTCCATAACAGATTATAATAGTAAAGGGATTATTTTTCATTCTTTTCACCTTGATTCTCCTGCAAGGCTCAATTATGAGCTACAGTTAAGAGTTGCAAACATTCCTGTTGACTTTTGGGTAAACCCAGGCCCTTCTAAATTGGGAAGAGAAGTCAAAAGGGTCACATATTCAGACTTTACGTTGTCCCTCATGCAAGGGCACATCAGTTATTAGAGGACACCCCACTTTGCAACATGCAGCTAAATTTCTGGTATACGCACCTGATGGATGTAGCTCCACATTGGTGACTAAAGTTAGCTTGGAGAAACTGTTTGATTTTGTGCCTTCAATTATTACAATAGGTTTTCCTCTTCCTTACAGCTGATGAATGCTCAAATCTCAGGCTCAGGATAAAAGAAAGTGGCTTGAGATCTGCGATTTTCCATCCAAGTACCAAATTATTCCTGTCCTGGGATGTCCAGCATTTTTGAGAACAGGTCCCTTTGGTAGCCCCAGACTGATAAAGCCATCCCCTAGGCTTTTTCAAAGCACTCCCATAGACCATTAACGTGAAGGCACAGTCCAAAAAGCTTAATTTCCTATCATATATTCAATACTTATAACAGGCGTGATAATGTGCTTTGAGAGCGGAGTTGCTTGCGCTTGCAAATTGGATGTGGTCCATATTTTGGACACCCTGTATTTTAAAAGAGCGATCGTATGTGATAAAAATCACTACATTTCTGTTTTTTGGTGTCTGGATCCAGCCAGATTGATACACGTTAATTTATTTCTTTTTTTTTTGCTTACAGCAGCTCTTTGAAAAGAAAATCCATTTTATTGACCAGCTCTCTCCGCAAGGTTGACAGGCAACCATTTTCTCATCAGGTTTCCAAACAGCTCAGCTCTCCTAGCCTATACTTAATGCAGCATCACAAGGGGACACAATATACTGAATAAAATTGATCTGGCTGACGGCTACAATTCTGGATAAATCATTTAATTTAAAAAGACAGCCAGGAATTAGTTTGCAGCTCTTTAATAGGAGTGCACTGAACCTTTGCAGTTGAGGTAATTTTGTTGTGTCTGTTACAACGAAAAAACTCATCTGAGTGTTGCTGTGTAAAAACTGGGTAGAGTGATGCATTTATTGAATGCCGATGACCTTTGGAGCTTTGTTTCACTTCACAGTCACAGCCTTTGTACCTTTGCAGACCACAAGGAAGTGTTTCAAAATGTCAGAGAATTGAAAACGGCTGCACAACATACCTGCTGGTGTGTATGCAAAGGAAGCTGTGAAAGAAAGAGGAGAGAAAGAAGATGATCAGCGAATGGAATCAACACTTCAAAGTCACTGAGCCACCAAGACTATGCTGTTAACTGTCCATATTCCTAAGGGAGCATCCTGAGATATTACCTCTGATCGAGCTCCTCTGGTGCAGTCTAACCCAGAGCTCTGGGTTCAAATCCTACTCTACGATGACCATTTGTGGTCATCAAATCCCAAAGTGGCCAGCAGCCAACCTGAAAATCCTTCCAATGAACCTATGCAGGCAGTAAGAGCGGGAGAGTTTCCTGGTCAGTGTAGCAGCCTCTTCATGTTAAAAGACACTGCATGTTGGGTCTTGCCACCGTCTATACTCTATGGCAAGAGACCTCAGTGCTTCTGATCTCTCCTGTGGTAGGGCCAGGTCCTAATCATTATAAAATTATTGCGGCACAGATTGAGTGAACACACAGAGAATTTGAATCTGGCCAAAAAAAATTGAATTTACTTTGTTTGAGCAAACGTAGGGTCATATTGGAAAATAACAAAATTACTGACAACAAGGTGCAGAGCTGGATGAACACAGCAGGCCAAGCAGCATCATACGAGCAGAAAGGCTGACGTTTCGGGCCTAGACCCTTCATCAGACATGCTTTTTTTAAAGAAACTGAAGAAAGAAACTGCAGCCCCAGCAATGCAGTGCCCTGTGCACGATAATTCATCAATGGGGCAGTGCCCGAGATTGCCCACATTTCAAGATCCTTCATTCAGATGTGCTCCAAGAGGGAAGGTGACTGTGAGGGGAAATGGAGCGAGTGTATCCTGAGGCAGTTTGTTTGACCAGTTGCTTCACCATTGACCGGGCTGAAGCATGGTAGCTGAAAGGGAACAATAACCATTTCTCCCCCAGTCACTGCCGACAGTGGCCAGTGCTTGTAATTAGTTATTAGCTTGAGTGGTCAGTTTGGTGGTGGGTTGATATAGAATCGTAGAATCCCTACAGCATGAAAGCAGGCCATTTGGCCCATCGAGTGGACACCAACCCTCCAAAAAACATCCCACCCAGCCCCAACCCCTACTGTATCCTATGTAACATTACATTTCCCATGGTCAATCCATATAACCTACACATTTTGGACTGTGGGAAGAAACTGGAACACCGAGAGGAAACCACGTAGACAGGGGGAGAATGTGCAAACTCCACACAGACAGTTGCCCGAGGCTGGAATTGAACCCAGGTCCCTGGCGCTGACGTCGCAGTGTTAACCACCGAGTTGCCCATCTATAACACAAGTCCTTGTACAGTCGATATATTGAAAATATTCTTGCCCTAGTTTCCTGCCTTTACCACATATTTCTTGATTCCCTTATTGATTAAAATCTGTATATCTCAGTTTAAATATGCTTAATGACCCAACCTCGACAACTGTCTGCAGTAAGAATAATGTCACAGATTCACTACCCTTTGAGTCAAGAAATTCCTCCTCATCTTTGGTTTAAATGAGCAGTCCCTTACTCTGAGATTAGGGTAGGCAGTGGCCTGGTGGTATTATCACTACTCTGTTAATTCAGAGACTCAGGTAATGTTCTAGGGACCCTGGTTTGAAACCTACCTCGCTAGATGGTGGAATTTGAATTCAATAACAATCTGGAAATAAGAGTCTGATGATGACCATCAAACCATTTGGTTCACTAATGTCCTTTAGGGAAGAAATCTGCCATTCTTACCTGGTCTGGCCTACATGTGATGCCAGACCCACAGTAATGTGGTTGACTCTTAACTGCCCTCAGGGCAATTAGGGATGGGCAATAAATGCTGGCATACCAGTGAAGCCCAGATCCCATGAATGAATTCAGAAAAGATTGTGCCCTCTGGTGGTAGACTTTCCCACAAGGGAAAACAACCTTTCTGGGTCTACATTGTCAAGTCCCTTCAGAATCTTACAACTTTCAATAAGATCTTGTTCTTCTAAATTCCAACGAGTACAGGTCCAGCCTACTCGACGTCTGCTCATAAGAAAATCCCTACCACCTAGCGAACCTTCTCTGAACTGCCTCCAATGCCAGTATATCTTTCCTTCGATAAGGGGACCAAAACCGTTCACAGTATTCTGGGTGTAGTCTAATGAATGCCTGGTGACTTAAGCAAGACCTCCCTATTTTTATATTCCATTACAGTTTGTAATAAACCTCTTGTAGTGATTGGAACCAGATGGATCTTGTTGCCTACGAGATCTTTGATTGTGGTTGTTAACTTGTGCCAATCAGGAAGCCCTAGCTGACAAATATAAACAGGGGGGTTAGAATCTCCTTAGTTCAGGGGACTGACTCTGAGCTAGCGTACTGTGCACAAGTAAATAAGGGGTAACTTGGTGATGGGATACTGGCCTCTATGCAGTTATTTCATCTCTCTCCTCCTTCTTAGGGATGTCACTTAAGAAGGTAGGTTTTAACTACATGTCCTTTTGTAGATTAGTTTTTAAATGTTGCTCGATAACATTTCTAAGCAATGTTTTGGGGATGATTTGCTAGATTAAAGCTGCTGTACAAATGAAATGTGTTGATGTTGCTCTGCCTTTCCTCCCTTACCAGTGAAATGACTGAGTTCTTTCCTTTTCTTTCTGCGGCAGTACAGCCACACACTGAAGCCCATCAGGATTACCCAGCATGCTCCCCCAATGCCAGCAATGAATGCTGGCCGTTTCACCACATCTGTGATCTGCTCTGCCAGGCTGACGTTCTCATTGTCCTCAACAGGAACTGGTTCCTGGTCTGAAGGTGGACCTGGGAAGAGTTGGACAGATTAGAAAAGAGATTATAAAAATGAAGAAATATAAATGAAATGAAGTACAATCATGATAGAAGTTTATCTTGAAGAGCAGTGCAAAATGAATTGTTTGCTCACTTTTAATGACTATCCAAGATTAAAATTTTTGCCTAATCATCTATCTTGCAATATTATTGCTCTTTGTTTATGAATTCCTCAGTCTCATAATCCCTCTCACTAAAATAAAACCAAGAACTGCAGACACCGAAAATCTGAAACACAGAAACTCAGTAGGTCTGGCAGCATCTGTAGAGAGGTAAGCAGAGTCAGCACTTCCAAAACCAGTCACACTTAGTCAAAAGAGAACTTCCTCTTAATATATTCCTTGCTTCCCATCCCTTTGCTGCTGTAGTCGTAGGAGATAACAGTGTCAACAAGGGCTCATTGAGCTTCTGATACTCTGCTGCCAACCAGTGGCAGTACCCCCTGATCTGCACCAAGCACCTCATATCAATCCAGGAAGATCAGATATTGGTCAGTGAGGAGAATGAGTGGATCCCATCAGCCAACCAGATTGACGAAAACAGAACAGTCAGGTGAAGGGAATGAAATGGCAAGCTAAACAAGAGGATTGACGTGATTAAAGAAATTGGTAGGTTAGGTAGAGAGAAATTAATTCGTCTTGTTGGGAGACTCTCGATCATTAAAAGTACAGCTCAGCCAATCAGTGTGATGTAAAGAATTACAAAGACTTGCAGAAATCCAATATTTTCTCCCTCTAAAGCAGAGTATTTCAAAACTGAGATCAATAGTTCTTGTTCATCAAGAGTGTTAAGGGTAACAGGAACACAAGGCAGGTCTATACAATTACAGTACAGATGATCAAATTGAATAATGCCTCCTATCCCAGTCAGGGTGCATTCAAACTTCACTCATAAATTCCTACAGTGATGCAGCTCCAGGCAGAGATGATGTGGTCAATTGGAGCTTTAGAGCCTTGCCCCCATGTACTGCACTAGGGTGGGTGGTTATGAAATGATTGTTTAATACGTCTTTGATGAATAATCCTCTGTAAAGTGATGTATCAATCTGGGAAGTGCAAGAACTTCCTGCTGAATACAGCTTCACACTGCATTGTGTTTATAAGCTAATCTACCAAACATTAAAAATATATTTCATTGCTTGTTTGTGTTTGATGTTGCTATGGTCTCAGTGGTGTCCAAGTTGTCACTTCTTTCTATGGTGCTCGTAATTTCTGATTTCGTTACAGTCTGAGAAATTGTTTGAACTACAGCAGCTCCAGGGATGTTAAAGAATGAGTCACACATCACACACCATATATTCTACCATCCAAGAATCTTACAGCACAGAAAGAGGCCAGTCAGTCCAGTGTATCTGTGTCTACTACCTGATTAATTCTGCACCAAATGCTCTCCCTCTGGACGACTCTTTTTATGTTGGTGAGTCTGTTGCCAACACAGTTGCAGGGAGTGCACTCAGTGCCCAGGCAGTTGCAGGGCATGAGATGTCACTGCCAGAACTGCCTCTTCTTGCACCAAAGATTAGGACCATCCATCACATTGAACAATTTAAAAATATTTCAAAACTGCAAAACAAATAAAATGTTCTCTCTTTCAAATGATTCTGTCTTGTGCAGAATCTTAAATACTGTGTGATCTTACTTTTCTAATCTTATATTCATGGTTCAGGATTGGAATATTCATGGAATTGAATGCAGCAATGAGACAAGTGCCAGTGGGGGCAGTGAACCTAATACCTGTGGGGGGGCAGTGAACCGAATGCCAGTGGGGG